ATTTTTTTCGATATTTTTTTTTTAACAGTCTTCTTTCTCTATAACCTGTCATCAGTGTTTGCTACAATATCTTTTTAAGGCTCATTGAAATTCAATGAAGTTTTAAAAAACTTACTGCGTAAACAGTACAACATCCCATCTATCATATACCAGTTATTATCATAAAATTTAAAAAATTTACCAAAATGAGTTATGAATTCAGGTTGTATGTAAAAACAAATTATTATATTATGCAAATGTGAATTATAAAAAAAAAGTGAATAACTTACATACAAGTTTGTTTTGTTTTTTTTTCTGTTTGACGGCGATCTTTTAAATTCAATATAAATCATGCAAGTTTTAAACAATTTAGAAGATATTACGATGAGGTGAGGTAAAAAATTAATCTGATAAGTTTAAGAAAAAAGAGAAAATTTTTTCACATAAAATCTATTTTTATAAAATTCGTTTTTTTTTTGTTTTTTTCGTATAAAGATAGCCATCAACAATAGATTTAAAATAATTTTTATATTATTTAAATCTTTTATAGCATACTTAAAAAGTTGCAGTATTTAAATTAAATTCTATACTTTAAAATTCATAACATGCACAAACTTCATATTATTTGTTCCAAGAAATATCAATTAATTATATATGGTATTTATTTATTAAAGTAAATTATGAATGGGTGCCATCACTCTTATTATCCCCCAGTAATATTTTCAGTAATGCTGTTGAAATAAATTCCAAAATTATTGCGCATACTTATGTAAAAATTAAATTTCAAAAATTGATTCTCTCTTATGATGAAGTACAGAATATTCAAAAACAAAATTTGAAAACATTTTTGAGTATCTACGTACTTCGGATCTTTGATAATTCGGATATGCACTTTAAGTGCTAATCTAAACTTTAAAAACAGATACATGAGATATACTGGAACTAACTGGTTTATTACACTTTCAGATTTTTACATATTTGCAGAACTTTGAACATAGTTCGATTTTCGAACTTGCTTCTATTATAGTCTTGAATTATCGAACCAGCTTTATATTTAGATCTAAATTAAAACTGAATTTTTGAAAATCTTTTTCATTTCTTCTGTGCTACACACATTGACCGAAAGAATTGCATTTTTAAATTGTATTTAAGCAAGAAATTATTCACTTTCATGTGATTTATTCAAGTGAAAATTTGTGCAACTGCTATATATCCATTTTACCTATCTCCCCCCCTCTAGAAGTTATACCCCCCCAAAACCCTAAAAATGGCCTTTTTTTAACTATTTGTTGCAATGAAACCATAAACATTTTTGAAATTTTGCAAACGCATAAAGGCAGCGGCTTTCTTCCCCTAGCGCGGTATACTATTGCTAAGCTTTAGAAAAACAAAATGGCCGTTCAAATTTACCGTTATCTAAAGTCTTTTTTTCCAATTTTTTGATTTCGTTTTTCTTCTAGACCCCAGCCAAACATTAACAAATAATTCATTTCGTTAGAAGAAAATTTTTTTCCATCTCCACCCCCTCTCAAGTTATTGTCTCTTGAAATTTGTAAAATTTGAATTTTTGGCGCCTTATATTTCCGAAACCGCAAGCGTTTTCGAATTTCGATAAACATAAAAAGCTAGCGGTAAATTCATTAAAACATTAAAAAATATAATTATTTTTCTTAACTCACACAATTAACCCTTAAAATCGAGCGTTATGTTAACCCCTTTTTATATTAATCTTTGCTTTATTTCAAAGACTGCATATATGCGTCATCCTAAATATATGCAATCCTAGAAATAGTTAAATATGAATGAAAATAATTTTAATAGTGTGATAGTTATACATAGACTGTATTTAAAAGCAGAATTTTCACTTGTTGAAGGGAAAAGTGCTACAATACAAACCATTGGTTTGACCCAACTTTATTAAAATTAATTTTATTTATAAATAATCACAAACTCATAAATTTTATAATTATTTAATATTAATTTTTTGATATAAAATTTAAATTCTTTAGGCACTTTATTAACTTTATAATTTTATTAAAATAAATTTAAAAGTTTAAATTTTCATTTTAATATTTTTCTTTAAAAAACATAAAAGAATTGAAAAAATAAGCGAAAACTTTAAAATATTGATATTTTTCCATACTTGATATTGCCTATAATTTATTATTTTTTTGAAAAATACAACAAAAAACACTAAAAAATGAAAATATTTTTATGATGGATTTCAATTTTCCTTTACAATAATTTCTTCACCCCCTGCCTCCATTGAACCTAATCGATATTTTTTTCTTAAAGGATATTTAAAACATAAATACAAAATAACATTATATGTACATGGGAAAAACAAAAAATATAATACTCGTAAAATAATATGATTTGTTACAAAAGATGAAGAATGAACGGATCAGACGCGCGCGTATCGTTTTATTAAATTTAAATAATCTTTCCGCTTCCATAATTTCTGATTCTATCATTAAAATTACACTTTGTTTTCCTATTTACCTACATACATATATACATACAAAATATTTTCTGATTATTAATTCCTATAGTCACAATTCTTTATTTGTTTAGTATAGGTATATAAAACTACTATGTATATATCTAATTCTCGTTCCCTTTTAGTAGAGCAAAAATAATAAGGATATACGAGTACAAAAATATTAATATTTATTTCTCCATTTCACACCATTTTGTACTTTAAGAATAATTTTTTCTTTAACTGAAAAATTGAATATATTTAATTGATTTTTCTATTTTAAAGTGTTCGTATAAAATATAAAAACTTTTATTACGCTTATTCAATAATATTGCTGAGTAAACTTTAAGGGGTTCAGTAATAAAACATATTAGAAATACGGTATGCTTGCTAAACAATTTGAAGCTACACATATGATAGCGACATCTACATATTATGTAAAGGAAAAAAATCAATTCATCTCTATTTATTTTAAAAATGCACATTTATTAGGTATACCCGTCTCAAGGAACACTTATAGGTATACCCGTCTCAAAGAATACCTTCCCGTTCATTTCGTATATTCTCTTTCTCGATAAATTTTAAAAAATTCTTAACAATTCCAATGTGCAGGAAGAAGTCCAATGTGCAGGAACTTCCGATTTCATATGTAGATAAAAACCAATTGTATGACATTATTTTATCATCACGTATAATAGAGTAATTTATGCATTTTTCGTCATTTATTAAAGCAAACAATTAATTTCTTTTTATCGTATTTAATATTACTGTTATTTCGTTTCATACGCTTCGAATGAACTTTTATTCAGTCTCTAACTTCTCAATACCACTGTTATTTTCCACTCTATTTTAAGCTAGTTTCATTCAATAAATTTATTTATTTATTTTTCATTTTTTTTTTCAGTAAAAAATTTTATTAAAACAATTGTGCCATAAAACCGAAAGTGAAAATATTAAATTTAATTAAATCAAGTTATGAAAGTTTATTTTTCTCGATAAAGCAAAATTAACGAAAATTTAAAAAATTATTATAGCCCCTTTTTATTTTTTAAGAAAATTGATTTATGACAAATCGTAAAATTTTCTTCAACAAGATTGTTCCCATTGTACGTGTATTGTAAATTTTAATTCAATATTTTCAATGGATTATTAGGCTTTTCCAATACTTGCGAATAATTTCTGAAAACAAGTTAAAAATTATTTTTATTTAGAAAATAAAATTTTATTAGACCTTATTAAAATTATAACGAGTTGATTTTAAGATTTCACAGTTTGTTTTTCGATAAAAAAATTCCACCCTAGTAGCAAAAATATGTACATGTAAATAATAGATTCAAAGCATTAGTCCACCCCAAAAATTTGAATATCAAAACGTGTATATTTGTATGTACAATTAATATAAAATTTGTATATCAAAAGCCGTCCAATATAATAAGTTTATGCAAATACATACATACATACCAGTTATAACTTTTATTTTGATTTTTTGTTTTGACTTTGTTTTGGTTCATCTCTTGCGTAGACAAACACGTTAATGATTATTAATGTAACGCACATGGTATACAAAAAATTCTAATCATAGCAACAACAATACATATTATTATAATATGCTAATATATCAGGTTTTTGTTTCTATAATTTTCGCGTTGTTTTGTTTCTGTCTGTCAGAATCTATTGATTTCTTCAGCCTTTTAATGTGTTGGATGACAACTTTCATTTTTAATATTGATAACATGCACTTTCGTTTAATGTATGTATCTATATGCGTAGATTCGCTCGTTTACTGCAACTCTGACATAACTCAAAAAATGCGATTTCTAAGTTATTTAAACAGAAATAAACACTTAAAAAGTGGTTACTTACATATACATACATTTACAAACACCTTCTGACCTCAACATCGCATGACATTAGATTTATGGTCGTCCCATACATACATATGACACATGAGCCCTCCTTTCGGTGTGATTGTGAGCTATTATAATAGGTTATAAAGCTGCTCTAAGTGTCCTTCTACATTTTTTAAATTCTGAGCTATGAAGTCTAGATATTTAAAGTAAAAAGTTAATAAAAAATTGTATACAGATGTCAGCTCTTTACTTTTTGCTATTTTCTTTTATAATGTTATCATTTACCATAATGTAAGAATTTTCTTTGTTTTTTCGATAAAAATAACGAAAATTCAATTTAGATAATTCAAAGAAATTTTCACAAAACATAAGTTTTCCACTACTCTTACAATAAAAAATCAATTTAAAAATTACAGTTTTGTTCATGTCGGCCCCCTGAAGCATGTTTTTCTGCTAAGGAATAGAACAAAGCTTTAGAACAATTATTTTGTTCGAGAAGTATTTTTTTTTAGCCATAACATAGAGACAACGATCTCATTTATCCACTAATTTTATACTTTTAAATTTAATAACGCCATCTAGAGTTTTAGAATTAATTTATTTTTATTTTCACTTATTAAAAGTACAATACTTATAATAATAAAAAAAATGACTTGAGAGCATGCATTGAATTGTTAAAAAGTTCAGTAAAAAAGAAAATTTTTTTCATATAATTAAATTCAACAAATTAAAATAAAAATACATATTTACAAAATTTTCTAGGCAAAAACAAAATATCTTAAATTAAAAAAAAAAATAAAACTAATATTAAAAAAAAAGGGTTCCGAATGAAAATTAATAAAAAAATTTTTAATATTCTTTTTTCTCTTACAGTTTATAAATGCGTATCCATTGTATCAGGATTTTTATCATCCATTGCAATATTATCGATTCCATTTTCACCTTTTCCTTCTGGATCTGATGGTGGAGGTTTTCTCTTCCTCAACAACAAGTAAACAATGCTAAGTATACAAAATTTTTAGAAGAAAATTTATTTTATCAACATGATGACAGAAAATGGTCGAAAATAAATTGAATGTATGATACTTACAAAAATATAAAAGAGCTTGGAACTAAAAATATTTCACTGAACAAATAAAATGCACCAGGAAAATTAGCTACAGTAGCATTATACAAACTACTGTACATTGGTGTAAAAATAAATGTACCCAAAGCATCTGCTATACCCAAAACTGAATAAATACGTCCTAAAATTATTAATTGAATATATTTGAAAACAATTAATATTAATAATTTTATTTTAATATTTAGATATACAATATGAATGTATTTGTTATTCACCTAATTCTTCTGGTAAAACAAATAATGATATAATAGTTTTCAAAGAAATTGTTCTAGCAACAACAAACATATCAAAAACACCACCAGCATAATACAATATATATTCCTTAGCAAATGCCTACAAATATAATATACAAAAAATAGTTATTAATAATTTTAATTAAGTATACCGAAACAATAACAAATTACTTACGAAACAAACACGTGCAATTACAGAACATATTGATGCTAAAAGTCCAATCATTGCATCTGTTACTTTAAGCATTTTACTCAAAATTGTTGTCATAATAAAAGTTCCTTAAAAGTAGATTTAAATTAAATGTATATTAGAGTGTCATTAGTTTTAATTTGGTAAAAAAAGTTAATCTTAATAATTAAGAAATTATGGAATCCCCAGTAATTTGCCTATTTGTATACTAAAATATTGTTATAACTAGCATGAATCAGTCGTGATTGTTTAATATTTGGCTTAACTACTGTAATAGATTATTTTGAAAACAATAAACTATAGATTATATTAGATTAGACATTGGGTAACGATTGCACCGCGATCCAAGAACCGGTTCTATTGTGGCCCTTCCTCCTTTCAAACTCGAGTTTCTTATGGGGATCGATTTCTCGATCTTTTGTTGTTTTCTTAATTCGAAGACGTAACCACCCAGTGGCACCCCTTTCTGCTGTGGTTCCACCCTCACTGAGAAGATGCTCTGGCCTTCCAAGTCCATCCACCTCATATGACCCTTGAATCGGCAGTGCCCTGTTAGAAAATCCCTAAGCAATTTTACCTGGTTCCTATCCGCTCGTATTATATTCCTTCACAGCTTCTCGTTAAAATTACCAAGAAGCTCTAGGGCCTGCCTTTAAAACAATTACGAATATAATGCAATATTTACAAATGAATCAACTTGCATACACTTTAAAACTAATTAAAATTTTTAAAATTAATATAAATATAAATAATTTACCACATGCAGCGATGGCTTGTGAAAATGTATAAAAGTAACTGAAATCATCTCCATTAAAATTCAAACGAATAAGTGTATACGGGTATAAAAGATCAGCTTCACCTAAAATATTTAATAAATAATTTTTTAAAATTAAAATTAAATTTCATAAATTTTATAAAAATTACCATTTGCCGGTCCAATTAATAGAAAATAGCATATTGTTAATAATATTAAATATTTTCGGCCATCATTTTCTCGCTTTTTAATTAAAACTTTTGAACTATCATATGCTACCAATAGACCTTCTTTACACGAAAATTTTTCTTTTTTAACATCTTTTGCTTCAGTTTGTTCAACTTCTTTAACAAATAAAAATAAGTAAAGTATACCACATGCCAAAAGTACAGCCCCAAGTATAAAAACATCTAAAGGAAAAATTAAAAAAAATAAATTAATAATTGCAAATTTGTTTGTTATATAATAAAATAAAATTGTGGTACATACTGACATATCCTAATTGAGTATAAAGTGTACCACTAAAAGGTGATCCAACAATTGTGATTATTGTTAAACACATTCCAAAAATGCCTAAACTGTAAAATACAGTTATGAAATTTTAATTACAAAATAAAGTTAGTGGCACTAACTTAGTGCTTCCTTTTAAAAATTTTATATTAAATTAAATTTTTGTGTTATATAAGGCACCTAGCGGAAAGCAAATCGAATGTCAATTTGACTTATTCAGCAATGCTTTTTAAATTACTAAATACGTAAATTTGATATTAGATCTGCATTTTGTTAAACGGCCATAGGCACAAATTATTTTGCTAACATACCGAAAAACTCTATCTTCTTCTTTTGTTGTTGCTATCAAATAACTGTAAACTCCCATTATCATAAGAGTTGGGCCTCCCAATAAACCTGGTAATAATTTTTCCAAAAATGCACCAAATTCCATTGGTATTTCATCAAAATAAATTGATGAAATCAACAAAGCTATAAAGAATTTTGTTATAATTTTTTAATTTACATATTTGTAATTATCATTCAATTTAATATTAAAATCATCCTGTAACCAACCAAATTAATGAATAATCTACATATACTTATAGTATCAATCTTATATTATTCTTAAGAGCTTAAGAATTATAAATAAATTTCTTATTCATAATGCATCTGTTTTTTACTCGTATGTAGACAATTTAAATATTAAAAAAACTGGAAATGAATAAAAATCTCAAAACAGGTATGCATGTTTCTTAAAAAATATTTTAATAACAATGCGTAAAAATTTCATATTTGAGAAATAAACTTTTAAAATCTCCCAAATGTATGCAATTTTTTCTTAATAAATTGTAAATTGATTATTGTTTATTTAGTAAATTCAATTATAGAGAATGAAAAATTGCTTTGAAAATGAGAAAACTAGACTATGACGTAAATATATTATATAACAGTTATTATTAATTATGAAAATTTTTTATCGTATGTATTTTGTTAACTTGTTATTATACTACTTTCTGAAATCGAAAAGAAAATTATAATATAGTACGCGCATAGATATTATAAATTTCAAGTAATAATTATTACTTGAGTGGTAACGATGTGCAAAATATTCGCACATCGTCACCACCCTGTATAATTATAAAAAATATTGTTAATTATTATTAATTTCCAGTTTTCAAAAATACGCTATTGTATATTTAATAAAACTGAAAAATTGTAAAAATTTTGAAATAATTTCATATTATAGTATATATAGTAGTAGCCGTAGTATAAGGCTTTAATATTTTAAATGAATATTGTTTTACTAAAAAGTAGGAAGTAGTAGGTAAATAAAAATATCAATTCATGCATCCTGAAGTAATTTAAATGTTCATTAAGCAATACAAAATATTAAGTATTTGAATTAGTAATTTAGAGAAAGGCTCCCAATTTACATGCAATTTTTATTTGAATCGATAAATCAATTATTTTTCAAGACACTAAGAATACACTCTAGAGACGTAAACGAAATTAATTTCATACGTTCAATTATTCAACAATTTGGATTGGTCGGTCGCGCGTCACACTTTTGATATTAAAAAATAAAAATGCAAACCAAACTGATGTCATTTTATATTGGCGACTCACACGTGAAGTTTCGAAAATTAAGACCATCTAAGAATTATAATTAAACTACAAAGACTCTAACTAAACATTTTGCTTACGAACTTCATATATTCTTTGATTCAAATGCAAAATTAAATCAATTTTTTCGAAAATCATCGCAATAGAATGAAAACTTGTTAAACATTTTTAAAATTTTTTAACAATGTCAAATTTTCTTATGTCATATTTTTTATGCATAATTCAGTATAATATTTACTAAATAGTTATCCAAGTACTTTGTATAACAAATATTAGAAAAAAGTTTAAAAATAGGTAAAAGTAATTACTATTTTCTAAATAATTATGAATTTTTAAAATTATATTTTTTTTATATGCAAATAATTAAACTTGAAAATAGAAAAACTCTTCACTCTTAATGCATCATTAATTTCATATTAAATAATAGAAATATCACGATTTTTTTTTTTAATTAAAATTGATGACTTTTACATTTGTACTTTTCAATTCGAATATAAATATTTTTAAGCATTTATAATATGTAATGTAATTTTGTATATACGAATACTTACCCAATGCTGATAAAAATTCTCCAATTAATGGTAAAAGCATTAATGGTTTTCTTTTACCAAGTCTATCACTTAAATTTCCGGCATACAATATAACAATAACTTGAAAAACCGAAGCTTAAAAAATAAAAACAAAATAATTGTTAATTAAACAAAATTATAAATAAAGCAAATATTTGTTTGTATATATGAGAATTTTTGTATAACACAATGTTAAAGCAAATTTTTACATTCCTACATTAGCAATTATTATTATAAACAAATTTTATTATTGTAAATAACAACAAACAACAATAAATTCCTATACAACACAACACAATAACGTTAATAAGAGAATTTATAAATTTTTACGATATTACATGAAATTTCTTAATTTATGTTATACAACAAAAAAGTGCACATGTACTTGATTGATCTTTGAAATAGACATAATTAAAGTTAAAAATTTCTAATATTGCACATTATTTAATTTTATTATAAATGTGTCAAGTGTAAATTTGTAATAAATTTTAATACAAAATACTTACAATATAATTTGAATTTTACATTGTTTTTGTTGAATTACTATTAAGTATTACTCAACTATTATATTACTATTATATGCCACCGGTAAGATATTGAATTACTTCAATAAATTCATGTATAATACATAAACAATATATTTTCATGTATCCGGTATTATAACAATATTGTGTGTTATACAAATTAATTCTATAAATATAGAATTTAATAATACAAAAATAAAAAAAACAAATTATATAATACTTTTTGGTATATTAAATATATTTTAATAAAGTATAATAATTATTTTTTAATTAACATACTTATATATGTATTTCTAAATGTACGGAAAGATAAACAAGAGTTTATTATATTCTTTAAGTAATTCATATACAAATCTTGAGTATCGTAAAATAATTTTAAATAATTCTAACAAACTCTAAATCAAATACAGTAATGCCTAGCATAACGTCGCACCGATGTTCTCCAATTCAGTACAAATCTCTTAAAATTTTTAATACCATTTTAAATAACCAAAAATTGAAGAGATTTATTTTCTCTTTAATAAAAATTAAATATATATGAACCTTTCAATTTCATTTAGCCATTTCGCTTTAAGGTCGTAAATTTTTGGTCACAATAATGACTTTAAACGAGAGATTACTGTATCTTTTTTAGAAAGAGAAATTACCTAAGTATAACAAATTTACTAATAATCACTAATTAATTACCCATATACAATATACATGCATAATGTACCCATTACATACAAAATAATTCTTGGGGTTTGGAATATGGGGAATTGTAATATCAAAATTATTAATATTAATGTGATACTTACAAACTGGACCACGTACACCATTAATAAATGTTACTGCTTTTTGTGTTTCAAGTTCCGCTTTACATACAACATAATTAAAATCAGTTGAATTATTTGTTATATTAAACACATTTTCAATTATTTTGTCATAGGAACTTTCTTCAAAAACATCACAATCAATATCTTCAGATTTTTCTAATACATTATCACATATTAACTTGTTGTATCCTAAATTGACTCGGCATGCCTATAATATACATTCACATATTCATATATAATAGAATTTTTAAATTTTTCATTTTTTTTTTCTCTTATATTCTTATACATATAAAAGATTTTTGAATTGAAAATTAATTTATTTTCATAATTTTAAGAATTAATTTATTTAAATTTAGTAAAATTAAAATTTTAATATAATTTTTTTAATTTTAGCACTGTAACTTATACTGTAATTTCTATATTAATTATGTATGTATGTATATAATTACTTTCTCTAGAGCCAAATTTGGGATAGCTATTAAAAAGAAACATGATGGTAATAGCCATAACACTAAAAGCGGTTCAATTACAAAATATTTACGCAATATTTTAAGATAAATAATTAATCGTGTTATTAAACTTTTTTTTTCTTCCGGTTCCTCAATATCAACAGTATTTGGTGGAACATTATTATTTTCCCTTCTTGATGATGGTGTCGTTCCTTCATTTGGCATTTTTACAATATTTTTTTTTTATTATTATTATTATTTATTTATTTATTTGATAACTATGATAGTAAACAAACAAAGTATAGTAAAAAAAATAAAAAAACGTAGTAAAAAAATAATAAAAAAATAAACAATGAAAACGTGTATAGGGTATGTAAACAAATAGTATGTATAAGTAACTATATTATTGCAATCTTAAGTTTCCAAGAATGATATTTAGTGTCGTCCCTCTTGTAACTGATAAATACGTTTGAATAAACTAAAAATGTTAAAATTAAAATTTTTTCGTATAATGTCATGAAATTTTCTTTAAAAACTGGTTTGATTAAAATACCTGTAATAGTTTTATACTAATACCAGTTAGTTTGCTGTTTTTATTTTCATCTTTTGATTTTTTTTATTAACTTTTATGAAATTTTTTTTTTTTTAGTTTTGATTTTGATGCTTCTTTCTGGTCCATCATTTATGTATGTATACATTGAATGGATATATGGACATTAGAAAGATGCTGTTTTCGGTAATATGTATGTAAATATACACATAACGCGTATATTTTAGTATATATAGCATTTTGATAATGACAACAATAACAACAACAACAACAATAGTAATAAATTTATAATATCTTTAAATCAAGTTTTCTTCTATGACCTTCACATGCGAGAATTATTAATATTTTATTTATTTTTCTTCTCTTCTTTTTTTATTTATTTATTATTGTATATATATACATTTTTTTGGAATTAAATTAACATAATTATACAAAATAGACGAAATTCTTTTATATAAATTTAAAATGTGAATTGATCCGGAAAATATATACATACTTATTAATTTATTGGAATGTTATTCGAAATTTGAATTTAAGTTTATTATGTTCCCCGCTTTAAATTATTCATTTTAAAATTAAAAACGTATTAAAAATAATTAATATTTCAATTTCTCATATTTAACATCATAATAACTGTTATACTAATTTTTTTGCTTACTATTAATATTGAGAAACTCACACTGTAGCACCTTCTTCCTTCAAACTCTCATTGTGTTTGATAAAATCCCATAAAATTGCTATTTGTAAGTTAATTTTAATATTAATTTTAAATTGAATTATATACATAGAAAATTTTTTTTTCCAATTAAAAATTACAATATTTAATTAAAATTTGATTAAGCTTAAAATTAAGCGATCGTAAAATAAGTAATTTTAGTTTGTATTAATGTAAAAAAAATTTCGTATAATAACCTCGACTTTTTCCGATCTCGACTAATATAATATAAATAACACGTTGCAATAGGTATATTGTATTCATCATAATGTTCAATGAACTACAGTGAGTAAAGCACCAATTATAAAAGTTTATTTTAATTGTACTTTTTGTCAATAAATCTTGAATGATTGTAAGATTTTAATTATTTAATTTTTCAAAAGATTTTCACATTCATATCAGTAATGTATAATTCTCACTTAAGGAAGGGAGTTTAAATAATAACATGTATATAAATTAACAAACTGTTATAAAATGAAATATAAAAAGTATTTTGTTACTTTTAGAAGAATGCCAAAATTTCTTAAAAAACTTATTTTACAAAGGTTTTCATTTACATCACTCAATTAACTAGATAGCTCCGCAAATAAATGTAATATTTGTATAACAGATAAAATTCAATTTGTAATAGATTTGATCGTATACAGAAAATTTACATAAATTTTACGAAAATTATTGTCAAAATTTTTCTTTTATTGAGAGAATTAAGTGTGCTTTAAAAGAGAGTCAAATAGAAAGTGGTAAGACGCAGTCGACCATCTCTTTCAAATTTTTACAAAACGATAAGCATATCCAAACCTCATATTATTACCTTATTATAGTCAGAATAACTGTCTCTAAATTTTTTTTTAATTTTTTTTTTTTTGGCTCATTTCTTGTTCTTTAAATAACAAATAGTTTAAAATTCCTCCAAAAATTAAAAAAAAAAAAACTGAGAAAAAAAAATTTTTTTAACTGGCATTCTGATACTTTTTCTTTCTTTTGTTTTATTTAAGAATCTCCTTTCAACAAAAAACGAATGTAGATAAAATTAGTTTTTCTTCTTAACTGTAGGATGTGAGTATAGGAAAATTAATTATTTTAAAATTTTTTACAGAGGGTACACAATCAAAAATTATGAATAAAATTTCATAAATTTTTATATTAAATTGCATAATTTAGTTTAAAATATATATAATTAATTAGAATACTTCGCAGACCGTATAACCATTTTAAAATTTAATTAACAGTCTCTAATAAGAAGCTTGAAATCATAATAACAGTTGCGCAGGTTATATTGTGCCTTATGCTTTTTTTTTCTTCCCATACTGCTTGGGAGCATTAGGAACCACCACTTGACTTTGAGGCCTCAGTTTTACAAGTCATTGGGTCAACTAGACGGTAATCAGCCTACCGTAGTTTTATCTTTTCATTAAATATTGAACCTTATTAATATCTATTTTTGCTACCTCCATAATATCGAATATTATGGATATATGGTCGATTATTTTTATATTAACATTTTATTTTATATTATTGTACATTAAGTTATATAAATTTTAAACCTAATTATTTTGGTGACATGACCAGGGTTTGAACCCGAGGCACTTCGGCAAGAGGTGCCATAACCAATCCACTATTGATCAGATAACATTGAGCCTCATTTAATATGTAATAAAAATATTATATTCGATTTAACTTATGTATGAAATTTATTGCAAAATTCTTTTAACAATCATAAACGAATAATTTATTACAATATCCAATCAAAATCCTAAAAAACAAATAACAAATTTTGTTTCATATAAATGTTTGTATGTGCAAATTTATAACACATACAAATTTGATAATGTTCAACATTCTATAATATTATGAATGACGCATCAACGATCATCTCAATAGAAAATTGTAAAAAATGCGGATGAATGAATTGTTAAAATATTGTTAAATCATTAGATGTAAGAAGAAAAAAAAAGGAACCAAATTAATAGTAGATAATTACCTTCTGATGTAAACAATTTATTTATCATTTTTAAACAATTAAACAATAAGAATTTTCGTTTAATTTCACTTTACTCTGGCATATTTATAAAAAAAAAATTTAAAAATTTTCATCCATTAATCATTATTTTATTAAAAATGTTCGCCTAATAATATGCAACATTTTTTTGATAAATGAAATTTATAGAAATTATTAATTTCGCTGTATTAAGAATTTAAATTGATTTTTATTAAACAATTACTACAGTGTAGGTGATTATAAATTTTTCATTCTAAATCGATTTTAAGATTAAAATAGAAAAATTTTTAAAAATTATTTTGATTTTAGAAAATATATGATTAATTATAATTTATTAAAACTCCACGTACAATAAAAATAAATTCTTTATTAAAAATATTTTTGAGAAAAGTTGAAATAAGCAAAAATTCGATGATAGGTGGGTGGTTTGAGAATTTTGTTTTTAATATTTATTTAATTTTAATTATAATTATAATATTAATTTAGTAATTTTTATAACATTTATTAGTAATTAAATTTAACTTCATTTCCGGCCTCGTGCAAAATTGTAAACGTTACATCAGCACTTTTGATGGGAACGATAATTTTATAATTTCTTCATGGTTAAACGTTTTCGAATGCAGACGTTCTACCAGCAATTTACATGTGAACAGAAATTAGTATTGTACTAAAGATGTAATTCGATGCCTCTTGAATATGTTACTTGACAACGTGATAACTTCCATTTTAATTTCACCCAACATACTCGTATACTTACTGCTGCACTACTTCTGTTACATTTGAGAATGATACACATTGCTTTATTCTGCAGAATTTGAAACCTATTTTTTTTCAAGCTCATCTTATCATACCAAAAAAAAGTTGATGCTCAGAAATCCAAATTATGGCAAAATAATTGTATTATAAATTTTCTACAGCATACTTTACAGTCATACCATACGTTTACAAATAACATACATTTTTAATTTTTTACCATATATTTTTAATAATATTTCTTCATTTACCGTCACAAATGCTCTCTTAAGATCAAAAAAATAGCTGAAAATTACTGGATTGTTTTCTCTGGCTTTTTTCCAATCGCATATATTGTGTTTAATGCTGATTCGCACGAATGTGAATAACGAAAACCCATTTTTCTCATTACGCAGAATAACGTTTTCCTATAAATTATAACAGGTCTCTATATACCATGTATGACGTGCCTAAAAAGTTGCATAAAATTTTTACCTGTTTTTTTATAAATATTATTGTATTTAATTTGAAATACTTGTAATTTTAATGAATAAAACAAAATATTTTCATTTTTTTTTCTGATTTTTTTTTACTCAATTTTTTTTTTTTTTGTACATAATTGATCTATATAATATCAACAATCAAGAATATATAATATATAAATTTCTTTTGGCATTGAATATATAAACAAATTTTTATTTTTTTTTTTTTAAATATTTTTAACTCTTTTTTTTTCTAATAAATAATTCCAAATTATTACAATACTACATATATATTTATAGAAACATATAGGTATATAAAACAGTTTTATTTTTCATTTTTTTTTTCATAAAATAGTTTTAATAAATCAATATTGTATGTTCAAATGAATGCATACAAAAGCAATTAAAATTTTATATATATATATATATATATATATATTTGTATATATATATAATAATTTTAAAATATATGTATATAGGTATATATGTATACATAATTATATTATGTATTAATATATATAACAATAATAATTTGCAACCGCATTTTTAAGTAGTAAAACTTTTCTCATTTTATATTTAGCTTTTCAACAAAATAATTATCATTCAAGACAGCTGTTGATAATCACTTGAAATTAAAAAAAATATGTTAAAAAAAAAACGTTTTTCATATCCTTTTCTCTTCTTTATTCCTTTTTTCTCCATCTTTATATAAATATTTTGAAATATTATGTACAGACATATGTTACGTACATAATACCAAAATTGATCTTAAATTATTTGATGTTATCCCAAAATCATAACAATGGACGAAACATATTTTTGTCTGCCTCTCTTCAAGAAAAAAAAAAAGGAAATATAAAAAGGATGAAAAACATTCCAAAACTAAAATTAAACAATTATAACAAATCAAAAATCAAAAAGAAAAACAAAGAAGATCTCCATATTTATGTGCACTTTGAATCCTTTTCAAAAAGGATTTTTCATTTTTCTTCTGCACCAAAAACAAAAAAAATTTTTTTTTATTTTTAATTTTTCTTTACGAAAAATCATTTCAATATTTCCCAAGATAAATTTCCATATTAACTATTTTCGATCTTTATTCAAAAAATGTAGAACATAATGCAATACTAAATCATAACAATATTTGTATTCAGCCTGAAAATAAAATAAAACAAAAAAATATATAAAAATATTATTGCGTATAAATTTATAAATTGATTAAAATTATATTTGATATAATTTAATAGAAAATTGAAAAGAACTACCCCAAACAATTTCGTTCTGAATTGTTTCAGAAATTTATTTAAAAGTTTGTATCTCTTTAATTTAAGACAGCCTATGCCGTTATAGCCCTGTATAATAATATTTTCGAAATACATTCTATGATATCCTTAACATTTCATAAAATTAAAGAAAATAAAAGACTACCTTCCTGCACTGAAAGAAATATTGTAAAACCTAAGCTTAGGACAATACAAAGTATATGTAATCCTTTATTATTAGGGTAAATTTAATTTACAGTCGAACACGCTTAATGTGAAATAGAAAAATGTCTAAGAATTTAGGGAAGTTGTAAAATTAATTTACACTTATGATTTACAAAAAAAAGCAGATTGTCTGGATTGTTCTCTGGATTTTTTTTTTTTAATTTTTATTATGTGATCTTAAAGGAGCGAAATTGAATGAAATTAGACATTCTGATGTTGAGAATTACGTGATTTTAAGATTTTCTATTAAGCGAGTTCGATTAAAATTAAATGAAAATACAAGTATATTATAGTTGTGATATTAAACAGGGGTTAAAAATAAGGTTATATATTTAAAATCTATTCTAATAGATTTTGAAATTTTCTTAAATAAAATTTTTAACAATTTACCAACAATATTAAATAATACTAAACTAATAATTAGATTAGACTAACAATGAATTACAATCTTTTTTTACAAAATATTGTATAAACTAGAATAATTCAGCAAAATATGATTTCAAAACTAGTTACATTAAAGATTTCTACATTACATCTTTTGTAAAATTAATTTAAAAACACACTATCCCAATATTAATAATAAAAAAACATACCATATTTTCAACTAACTGTGGTCTATGACGTCTAACAGTTTTAACTGCTTGAAAAACATCAACTTCACCATGTTGTATAACTTGTTCAATACATGCATTTGCAGCACAATAAACGCCAGCTCTACTTCTACCATTTCTAAAAAAATAATAATTACACTTAATTATTTAAAAATTTTTGCTTTTGTTGAAATTAATATTAAAAGGTGAAATATCGTGTGTAACTTACGGAGACACAACACAAATTGGTCCATAATCAGTTTTTTGTCTCCATAATTCGACCATATTCATTAAAAATACTAAAGAATTTGTTGACGTTGGAACCTTAAAAATTAATTTTTTTTTTTATTAAATTCAATATTGATAATTAAAATTAACAACCTTATGCCCCATTGGCCAACATGTTAACTGAAATAGTTGAACAGTTTTTGTTGGTGCTTTAACACCAGCCATCATTTCTGTTAAGGAAATAATCTATAAGAATTGAAATGTTAATTAGATTAGACATTTTATACTCAAATTTATTAATTTAAAATTTATGATTTTATAAAATATGAACATTAACACCTTACTTTCTTATTAATTTTGAATTCCCATTGTTTAATATTTTGATAATGTTTTGCGCTTGCTAAATGGACGGAAAATACCGGACCATATTTTTCTTCTTTAGATTTTTGTGGCCAAAATGCCGGAAATTGGACAGAATTAGCTGGCGGTTGACATAATACAACAACAGCTGAACATTCATGATCGTATACTAAAGACCAAAATTCTCCTAATGTATGCTTTAAAGGCCACTCTGTCACAATATATTCCCTGGGTTTTGTATACCCCTAAAATAATATATTAATTTTAATACGAGTAATAATAATAAAAAAAATGAATTTTAATTTATTTTAGACTTACATCTACAAAAATCGCATTAATATAATCAGTAAAAGCATTTCCTTGAAAGGAGATTAAATAAGGTCTAAAATTATCCGCTGAAATAAAACAAGAATAAATACAACTATTAGATTTTCTATAAATAAATTTTTAATTTCAATTGAATAAAACATATAAAATACACTTACGAGGCACACAAAGTACATCTCGATTCTTTTCTCTATTATCTGCTCTATGACCACCAGCACAATCACCAATAGTAAATCTATATGAAAAATTTGTAGTATTACAATAATTGAGAATTTTATATAAGTAGTATTTAATTAAATTAGTGAGTGTGTTAAACTCTTTAGTGAGTAATTATGCAAGTAATTATGCATATACTTTTTATATTTATTAGGTACCTAGGAGTCTGTTTACATATTTGTAAATATTCCATTTGATATTTATTCATTTTAGTTACTGTATCCTTTTTAGCTTTTAATTTTAAATTTTCTGAAAGTTCAGCAACTGGAAACCAACTTTTTCCACATACTACATGTTCTTCTAAAGTATCATAAACAAATTTGTATTGATCCTAAAAAATTTATAAATAGATTTTAGTATTTTAAATTCATAAAAGATCTTGGTTTAGCATACTATAGAATCAATTAAACTTTTCCTAGATTGACGTAATTTTTTAAAATAACCAAAAATATGAAAACAATCTTCTTCTTCAGCAAGTTCTAAATTTGCATCTATTGCTAAAAATACTCCTGATCTACCACCACCATCACTAAAAATATAATATTTTTTTGAATTGTTTTTCTATTTAAATAATAATAAAAATATTTGCTCATCATACTTGCAGTGAACTAATATTGGACCAATTGAATTAGTACGTATTACTGTTCCAACAACAGCACGTATTCGTCTTCTAAATTCTAAAACAGCATTTGAAAATGGACATGTGTGGGAATGCCATTCAGTATAATGAAATTGTAATATTAATCTTTCTTCTACTAGTGCCTAAAATAATAACAATATTATTAATTAGTTGAAATTTTTTTAATTTGCAATATTTGTGTATTATTTTATACTTACACCAAGTTGTGCCATATATAATCTAAAATGTCTAATATGAAAATTTGCTAATTGTTCCTCTTTTACCATATGGACGTTAACTTCACCGTAAGATTCATGTGTTTCGGCATTTGGTGGCCAATATTGGACGCACATTACCTTAAAACAATTTTTGTTATTCGAACAAATTTAAATTTGCATTTTATTTAAACTTACTTTTGTAAAATCAAAAGTTTTTGTTAACATTACAATAGCACTAACATTTTCCTGCCAAACCATTCTCCAAAAATCGTTAACAGTTTCTTCTGTTGGTCCTTGTGTAACAATATAGGCATTTGGTTTTAAAAGACTCTATATATACAAAATATAGTAATCAATTTAAATGAAAAATAATTTATAATTTTAAAATAAAGAAATTCTTACATCGACATAGGAGGCATTAACATAATCAGAATCTGGAATATTTGGAATTTTTTTCAATACCACACGATTATAATCATACGGAACACATTTTTGATACTGATTTTTTATTGAATTATTTTTTCTCATTGCATGTCTACAAGTGTTATTATCAGCTTTAGTTGCTATCTAAAAATATAATTAAATTTCAAATTATATTAAATTTCAATTGTTCCTGGAACTTTTATATATAATTCAATAAATACCTGATATTCCAATTTAAAAAGGACTGGAAATTTTCTTCTTTGTTCACATAATTTCAAAAAATGTTTTAAATCTACTGGTCTATCAGGCATTGCCATAGAAAGAGCATTTTTTTCTGTAATAAAAATTTAATTAAATTAATAGTATTAATAAAATGCTTCATGTAAAATAGGAAGGAGTGTTTACACACAAAACTTTTTTAACAAATTGTTTGATCTGATACAAAATTTGTGAAGGTTTGATTTTGTCAACGTTCAAGAGTAATATTTTACAACAAATTTTACTTGATGGACAAAACATGGACAGAGCAACGTCAACCTTTGATTAAATTTTATATAAAAATTAAAATTGTGGTTTGCTATTTATGTCAATGTCAGTTGCTTTTAACGCCACTTTGTGTCATTATTATTTATATTAAATGTGGGGAATTTTAAAATTTCCTTGATACTGAGAGAAATTTTTTAATATTTTAAGGCTGGTGTATAAAAAACAATAAATTTTTAAAAATAGTGTTTTGAAATTTTGTATTAATTTTACTTTTGTCATTATTAATATCATTTCATTGAAATTTTAGAAAGCAATTGAGAAAATAAAATTATCGTATCTTATGAAGGGATCGGTTTTCATACTGTATCTGTTTCATTATTATATTAAAAATACGAAGGATCAAATTTTCTTACCTTTTACCTCTATTTGAACCTTATCTGAAAAACAATAGAAAAAAAAATTTTTTTAGAGTCGCATAAAATTGGGTTTTTTCTTTAATAAATTTTCTTATCTGAATCAAAAATTTTATTTCTTTTCTTACCTATAGAAATAAGACCACTATTAAGCATACTTAATTTAATAGCACTAGGAAGGGAAACTAAACTTGTAGTATGAGTATTGCTTTTAGTTTTATTCTTTTCAACATCTGCATATCTGGTTGTCGATCTGTAATAAAAAAAAAACATGAAAGAAAAAATATAAAATAACAAGGACCAAAAAAGTTGAATCTTTTCTTGAATGAGAAATTTTCATATATAAAAATTGATTTTTTATGAATGAGATTTGAAACGATATAAAAAAATTTTACAAAAATAATAAATTTTAAAATTATAGACATAAACTAATAATAAAATTTCAAAGCATTCTCTTATTGATTTTTTCCATACCAATTACATAAAAACTGTCTCGTCTACTTTTTGTTAATAAAGTTCTTTGTAATTCTATTAATCTATTATAATAAACACTTGTTAAGACAACGTAAGTAAGGATGGTTCTTGTAATTGATATACGGCCGGGAGAAGAGAGACTAGTTATTAGGTACAAATAATGCGACGAGAATTATATTCCGGTGAATGTCCATAAATTAGGTTTGGTTACAACTAAAACAGAAATACTATTTATCATTAGAAGAGAAGGATATCTTTTAATGTGAGCACGAGAAGTAAGTATATAAAGGTAAGTTTAAATATAAGATTTAAGTTTAGCAATCACAATTTGTGAGCATCAACACTTTGACAAAGAATATTATATGAAGCACGGTTAAGAAGGTCCTGATAAGCATGAGTGTATAATTCTAATTGACTTACAAATTATGTTTGTAATCTATGCAAAAATGAAGTCATGAAGCAGCGATGGAGGCTAAAATACAAACGATTTAAAAATGGAATCAACGTCAGATTAAACAGAGCAAAATGTCGGAGGAATAATAACAGGTGTTAGTTTAGCAGGTATATATTAATAATAATGGTAGAAGAGTCGGGGATAGTAAAACTATCCAAAAAACAGAATTTTTTCTTTCCTCTACAAAAATTAGTCATAAATCAATTTGTCACTTATTTTTATCTTTTTTCTTTGAAAAGTATTTAACTATATTGTAATTGGTTTCCTATTAATAAAATTTTAATTGCTTATCCTACGTATTTCGAAAAGATAATACGCAAAAGAAGTACTCATCAAGGCCCTATTTACGTCGTTACAAATTCTCATTCTTAGTTAAAAAATGAAACCATACCAATATTTTAATATTATTAAAATAAATTTACGTCTTTAGCTGTTTCAATTAAATTCCAAATATACAAAAAAGCATAAAAAAATAAAAAAAATTTTTTTCTAAATTTAATTCTTAAAATATTTTTCAATTCTTAAGTTTTTATTCCTTATTTTATTTCAATTATTTCTCAATGATGACGCATTTATCATTATGATAAATTGTTAACAGAAGAATTTTCAAAAAAAAAACATAATAGAAATAAATTAGGAATGTACAAATTATATACAATAATATTATATATGTATGTAGTGTTGTTCTTACAATATAAACATTGACACATTAGGAATATTTGAATACATTCATAATCCATGCATACTCATGCACACTTTTAATTCTTATTTGTTTTGCTATTCGAATAAACAATAAAAAAAAACATCCGTTTTTTAAAAAATATTTACGATTTAAAATAACAATTTTTGCATATCAAATTTTTATGAACCATTATAGTCACAAAAGGTAAAATAAATATTTAGTGTATAATACATACAAACGTATACAAAAAAAGCAAAATGTTCATTTGTGCACGTATGCAGGGGTGGATTCATTTTGAAATGAAATTGGAGAAATTCAAATTGTTGCAATGCACAAATCACTATAAAAAGCATTCGTGTTTGCTCAATTCTTAATTTATCTGGACATTAATTATTCTGCCCCAAAAACGACTTGAGGCAAACAAATTTTATTGCAAATTTTGTATATGTATGTTTACTTAATAGACTTAATCCAGCCCTGCCTCTTCAAATTGTTCTTTTTTTTTTTTAAATTTTAAATAAACAATGAAATTGTTTTACTTTAATATTTTATTTACAATGATGTTGTATACAAGCAATTAAAACGTCGAAACTTTTATATTTATTTTAAATAAGTATAATTATTTAAAAAATAAGGAGATAAAATATATGACGTGCCTCGAAATGTAACAGAACATATTATAAGATCCTCCAAGGAGCAAGTGAAAAATGGAGCGACAAAGAGTGCTTTGGTACTTAATGTAACCAGATTTTTGGAGAGCTAAATTTGCACTCATTAATTGCAAAATTTTAAAAGATTATCATTAAAATATCAAAAATATGTATAAACTAATTGCTAGGGTGGCTGTCTTTTTTGTACATTACACAATCTTGATTCCGTAAAGGGAAATCGTCTTTGGCAGGGCGTAAATTTTTCCATTTACATAAAGTAGGAGTATTAAGAATTATGGTGCCGTGTGGTATGAATAGAAGCACGTTGGGACTAATTCGACTCATCAGATTTGTGAACAAAATCCCACCATCATTAAGTTAAATCCGCTTTTTTGTTACAAGAAAGAATTATGTAGACAATACAGACGACCCTATGGTGGGTTTAACAACACATTAATATTAGAAGAAAACTATGTAGCGCTTGCAAGATTCTTTGGAGTTTTGACTACAGGGGAAGTTGAAGTACATTATAGATACTGTAACAAAGAAAATATTAGTTTGGTATTAGAACTAATATACAGAAATGCAGCACGGTAAAATCTGTACATTGCGACTGAAGAGTATAAAAGTATTACAAGTGGTTACCGACGTGCTTGTTGTAGTCTTTATAATGAGTACCGTCATCATATGTGGTATACTTTTCTTAATAATAATCAACTATATTTTTAGTTATTTTATCTTAAGTCAACTATATTCGTTCTATTTTAAAATACTTAATTTTTGGTCAAAATTTTATTTTCCATTCAAAAGATTAATGAAAATATATTAATTAATTTATTACGAATTATTTGTTAAACAAACAATCAAAACAAAATTTCACATAGGATTTTCTAGCGTTAATTAGTAGATTACTATCACTTAATAGTTAAAATTAAGTAGACTGAATTAAATTTTTGTTTTTTCTTCTTTTCACTTTTTTTTATTCTTTATATACTCATTAAAATTAATTTCATACCATTTTTTTTTTCAACTTATTAACCACATTAAAAATATTAGACATTAGAGTACAGTAAGTATATAAAACAAATATCTATTCTTCGATTATAGGGTTAAACAGAAATATGTGTATATAATATGTAATCTCTTTGGAATAATTATTTTTTATAGTATGTAATTTACAAAATGAGAACAAGGAAACAATTTTAATACACATACATTCCGACATAATTATACACGCACATATACTCTTAGGCATAATTAATTAATTCATATATAGAATATTATGTATTAAATAAAGATTTATCCTTTATAGGATAATGAAATGATTACCCTATAATATTTACACGTGCCTATTTTATTTTCAAATTTCTTTCTATATTATATAACATGTATTTATAGTGTATTTTCTAAATAAATTCGAAAAGTATTTCAATGAAGGGTTCTATAGTATAATATGTAAATTTATCTATTTGAATTAGAATTAATATTAAGAACAAATGATGCTTGACAATAAATATATTTTATCAATAAATTGCACGCTTAGACATTAAATTATAGAAATTTTAATAATATAAGAGTTTTATATTGAGTCACAAACATATAAGCACAGAAAATATATCCAGATAAAAGTATAATGGCTTTTCCTTGGTATAATGGAAAATTTCCCTTGAATATAGTAAAATAAGCATACTTTTAGGATGCGAATAAAAATTTAATATGTATTAACGAAATTAACGAATAAGACCAAATTAAGTAAGTAAAGCTAAAGTAAGTAATTGTGTATATTTTTATGCCTAGACGAACGTATGTTCAAAATACCGGAACTGCCACTATTTTCGGTGAAATCTGCTGAGATATCATGAAAGGCATATGTTAGTTGTCACACAACTTCGAAAGTTATTTATCATTATCGCAGAAATTTTCACAGAAAGTATGTATATTATTAGGACTTTTATGTCTGATAAAGATGGTTAAAATTTCTTGATTCATTGCGGTAGCTGCCATTCTAGTTAAATAGTTGTTTGATCATATCTTAGAAACTATTTAAATTGCAGTTCAGAAATTTTTCAATATTTAGTATGGTAACACGACAACTATTATTTCTGTGCGAACGTACATTCGAAGAGTATTATAGAGTTAACACGATCAAGTTTATTTTTCTCTTTCTTATAGAAATATGGAAAATCTGAAGGATATCAGAAAAATAAGTATCCAAAAATTTTATTTTACAAATTTTCGGAATATAAAATAACAAGAGGAAAACGAAGCGAAATCAAAAGTCAATTATACAACATTTACACTCAAGTACAAAATTATTACGCCACTCATAATCAAATATAAATTAATTATGTATTTTTAAATTTCCCCTTGTAAACTTGTAAAGAAAACATTCTGAGAAAATGTATACAAAAAATGTTGTTTAAAAAATTTAAAAAAAAATTTTATTTTACATTTTCATTAAAAATAAGACATCGTGTTATTATGTAAATAATCATTTTATATACAATATATGTATATATAAATTTTAATTATACTCGCACCAAGTACAAATAATTTTTTTTTTTTGTTAAAATTAAATAAAAATTAGGGTATATGTATATGCAGACATTCTCTTTATAGTACTCATGCACCTAAATTCCTTTTATAAGAAATCAAATACATAATAATATATAAATGAATATTTTATTGTACATTTATATATTTCAAGAACATCACTAACCGTCTAGATATACATATATTAATATGTATACCTATATTATATCTAGATTTATATATACAGAGAAGAGGTATTACACGAAAAAATGAGGGCATTAAAAATGAATACCCATATAATTGTGTACTTTAAAAATTTCATATTAAAAAAACTTAAATAATATATATAATGTATATATATATATATTGTACATATTATATATTGTATATATAAGTATATATACAACATTCATTATAAAATCCGCCATCTATACATATTTACAGATATTATAGGTTCATGTATGTAAAAAATTCCTTTAAACAAAAATTTCAAATTAGTCACAATAAAAATAATAATTATTTCTAAGAAACAAAAGGAAAATATAAGAAAAAAAAATATAAGAGTATAAAAGAAAACTTGAGAAAATCAATACAAAGTGGTCATTCTATACATGATACACATAATGATATATATACTTAATATTCTTATATAATAAACTATACATATATACTTAAATATCTTTACCTATATATATATATATATAATTATACAAGGACCATATTATTTTTCAAGGATATATACTTAAAAAAGAGAAAGGATCGTAAATGGCAAAAAAAAAATTTTTTCTAAAGGAAATTCATGATAATATGGAAAGATATAGCTGATATATATAGTCGATTTTTCAATAGCATAGAATATAAATTTAAAGTAGATATGTGTACATGATATATATGTATATATATATATATATATATATATATATATATATATATATATATATATATATATACATATATATCATATAGTGTCATAATGATTTATATCAGTGAATTTAAATGGCGTTTATATGGTAATATAAAAAGCTTTATAAGGATTTATGGAAATTTTTGAAAAATTTTTGTTCTGAGGTTTAAAATTTTACGTTTCAATTTTTTTATTGAAATTTAATACGCATATAAGTAAAATAAAGGTATGGTATCAAATAAATGAAATCGAACATAACTGCATATATAAATAATTAGCTATATATTTTACTATTTGTTTATTTGAGCGCTATTTTACAATACGTAAGATCTTGCTATTATTAAAACATTCACAAAAATGTTCGCACAATATAAAACTCATTTAGTTTTTATATACTAAACAACTAAACAACGGCTTCGATGCCTCGTTGAAATTGCTCCCCATCATTTTAAATACTTATGTTTGTACTTCTAACATCCGCCCCACGAGTATTCGGTAATCAAAGTAAATTTCAAAACACTATTATTTCCCAAATCTTAAAAATTACATCTTCTCTATAACTTCATCATCATATTTCTTAAGTATATACAAAACTGTGTTTTAACCTCAATTTTCTTTAAAAGCCCGTTTTGAACTCGCTGATGTTATATAACAGTTTTTCAGACAAATATATTTATCAACCTTAAAAGAGTGTCAATTAGTGTTCCACAAATCAATTACAGTGCCGCCTCACAATCGTTGAAGTAGAAACAATATGTACGCATCCTATGTTAACGATCAAAATTTAAATAGTGCAAATTAAAATGACAACCAAAAACTAAGTCCTGCAGTAATGAAGAATTATTTTCACTTTGAACGACTCAAAATTTTCGATATAAGTGCGAAGATGCTATCCATCTCATTTCCACTTAGTAGTTTGGGTATATCCATATCTTTAAAAATTTACAAAACAATAAAATTATGTCTTAATGCATTAAATTCATAATACCGTATTCTATATACATGAACAGAAAACCTACGTCTTAATCCCCAAAAATTTTAAAATGGTAGGAGTATTTTAATTTTATTATAGTAAAAATTTACTCCAGGCATAAAAATGTAATAATCCTTTTCCTCTTATTGCTTTAGAAAATACATACTTCTTTTCTCAAAATTTTTTAATATTAATAATATATATATTAAACTATGTACAGCAATAAAATATTAATTACAAAAAAAAAAATGAAAATTTTCAATTCATAATTTTCTTATAAATTCTCTTAATACAAAATATTGTTACTATTTTTTTCTGTGTATATTCATTTATATAAAAAATCTATGTAAATACATATACATATATATCATGAATATATAATAATAATATGTTCTCCCTAATGGAATTCCCTAACCATGACCTCACAATAATATTATAAGATGAGTTATCTTTGACGCCACCTTAAAAACAAAAAATTATTTATATACAAAAATGAATGTTTCTCATATTTTTTTATATATACATTTTGTTTCAATATAATTTTTTTTTATTTTAAATAACAACAAGTGTTAAATTATAAGAAATTTAAAAATTTTCTAAAATACAAAATACACATGTATGTAGGTATATGTTCTTATTTAAAATACGTATTTTTTGGGAATTTTACGTACAAATGTTTGTATGTGTTTGTAAAAGAATTTTATTTCTTTTTTTTATTTTTTAAAATAAGATTGAAAATATTTTGTATAACCTAAATTATTAAAGTATATAATGTGAAAACAATTACACTCGCGTAAATATTATAAGAGTATTTTCATGGGGGAATATTATAAGAGTATATAGGGTGACCATACTCTAAAAAATATAGAATAATAGACTATAGTCGCTCTCAATTTTCTTACTTTCAAATAAAATTCGAAATAACTAACAATTTGTTGTACTCATCTTTTCTTTTCAAAACTAAACTAATTCAAAATAAATACCGAATCTAGATGCCAGATAAATGCATATAATTTTCCAAAATTTCGTTCCAAGATTTTCTCAACAATTAAAATTCTATAAGGGATAATTTTTACCGAATAACCTAACTTTGCCGAGAAATAAAACTACCAATTTTCAACAGGACACTCTTTGGATCCGTACCATTCATATACATATAATCCAATTAATCCAATATAATCCAATTGAAAATCCAATAAAAAATCCAACAATTTATAATACAAATTGAAATATATCAAAAACTTTTTAAAATTCTTATTTTTCTTATATATACATACGTATAACACGTTCGGTACGGTGTTAAATTATTTTATATATCTACATAAATATAATAATATAATTTTAATATTATTAATTCTATATATATAATAATTGTATATAATATATATAATATATATAATATATTATGGATGAATAAAAATAAGAATAAGAAATAAATATAAGATACAACAAAAAATTATAACCTTCTCAATGAATTTTTTTTTATTGTGAATACTATATAATATATAAAATAATATATAATAACATAAAATACTCTTATATATATGTACCATATACATTTTATAATAATTTAACATACAATGAAACATGTACTTTTTTAAAAACATTATTTATATTTTTTTTTAAATATATTTATAAATATATATATATATAGAGAGAGAGAGAGATATAGAGAGATGTATATATATATATAGAGAGACAGATATAAAAATGATATATACGAAGCATATATAATGAATCTTAAAAATGAAATTTATTTTAAATTTTAAATTAAAAAACGAAAAAAGAGAGAAAAATAAAAACGTAAAATGTATATATATCTATATATATATATATATATTTATATATATATTCTTTTTTAAATAATATTTGAGTATTTTGTTTTCATTATCTTTTTTTTTTCGTTTTTGTTTTTAAAATCGCTATTTATAATTTTATTATAGGTACCTAGATCTATGTCGTTTTTGACTTCCAGTTTGACTATTCTCCAGTTCACTTACTTTACTTAAGGCCATCTTTTTTTTGAAATTAAAAAACGTTTTTTTTTTTAAATATATAAATATAAATAATTAATTTTGTTATCTATAATATATTATATATATATATATAAATATTTATAATATATATATATATATATATTTGTATATAGTATATTTATATAGTTAATAAACTTTTATAAACTCCTGTTTTATAAGTTAAGTATTTTTTTTTTGTATTTTACATATGATTTTTATAATGTTTTTTTAATATTTTGTTTATTTGTTTTTATTTTCAGATATTTTTCAACACACAATCATATTAATATTTTTTATTTTATTTTATTTTTTTTATATATAAATATTCAATAAATTATTTTAAATTATTAATGAAAATATTTTTCATTTTTTGATTATTCTTAAGTATATATATATATGCATTTTAGTATATTTATTTTGTTTTTATATAATATATATATTTATATAAGATGTATATAATATAAAATGTATACACAATATTTAAAATGTTTTTTTTTTTTAATTTTAATCTTAATTTTTATAGTTAAACTTTGTTTAACTTATTAAAGTAGTTATATATATATATATTATATTTAAGATATATATATTGTAAATAATTTTTATATATTTTATTAAAATTAATAAATTAAATATTTTTCCAATAAAAAATAATTTTAAATATTTTTGTTAAATATTTACTTATATATCATAGCAGTAAATTAATATTATTAAAAACAATAGGTAAAAAATTAATTATTCTTTTTTTATGACAATATTTTTTTGTTCAATTTATATATATATATATATATAATTTTGTATATAAATAAATTAATTATAATTTAATAAAAAATATTTATAAATTTTTAAATTCATTTTTCATCCTTTATTATTAAAAAATTTCAATTTAATTTTAATAATTTTTTTTGTTCCAAATATTCAAAAAATGTTTTAAATTGTTTTTAATATAAATATATATTTTTTTTATAATTTTTTTTTATAATATAAAAAATAATTGGCACTTAAATTAATAAAAAAATTCGAAAGAATTTGAAAGACACCATTTTACAGGATTTTTTTTTTTTTTGGTTTGTTTTGGTTTTTTAAATATTATATATTTATTACAATTATTTTTTATAAATTTTTTATTATAAAAATCTGGAAAACTATAAGACAATATCATTAATAATTTTGTGATTAAATTTTATTAAATAGAATTAATTTCATATAATTATTTTATCATATTTAATTGTATAATATGTATATATACCTATAAATCACACATATAAACATAAATGTGTACTACAATATAACAGTTATATTGTGTTTTAAACCATTATCATCATATATATCATTGATATATGCAATATATTTACATATATATGTATTTTGATTTGTATTTATTCTTATTAAATATTTTCGATACCCCGAAAAAAATTGTTGTGTATTTATAACAAATGAACGAACACCAGAAAACAGAAACACAACAAACTTAATATATAAATATATATATTTTAGGTATGTATGTACGTTTAATAAAATAATTTTTAATAATATATTATAATATCGTATAGGTATACGTATTTGTTAACTTAATTTTCATTTTATAAGACGCTATATATTATATATATGTATATATAGATTATAAATTTTTCATTTTAATTTTAATTTCAATTTAAATTTTTTTTTTAAATTAAAATATTAATAAATTTTTTTAATAAATATTTTTTGGTTTTAATTTTCCCTTAATAATACTGGCAATAATAGCACTTTTGTTTTTTTGTTTTTGTTTCTTATATTTAATTGGTATATAACATTTTAGAATGAAAATTAAAAATTTATTTAAAAAAAAAATTAATTTTTTAAACAAGAATTTTTATTCTATTTAGTAAAAAAAAACACTTATAGAAATTCCTATTCTTTTGTCTATAAATATATCAAAAAATCTCTTGAAAAAATTCAAAAATATATAAGAAAAAAAATAAAAAAAAAATATGTTTTTCTTTTTCGGTTTTTTTTTTTGTTTTTTTAATGAAATGAAAATGTACGAAAAAAAAGGAATAATAAAAAAAGATAAAATTTTTGTTTTTTTTTTTTTTTGTTTTTTTTTTTAGTTTTATTTAAATTTTTTAATTCCCATAGCACACACGTCCTGCGAAACTTATTAAACTAATCACTTAGATGCTTTTGCATCACATCGATAGTGTGTAAAAATTTGAAAGAATAATAAAAATACAAAAAATCGAGAGAATTTTTCTTGCTTTTCTTATATATACGTAGTACAATATATTTTGAATTTATTCAGTTTTCTACATACACATACTTATAATTAAAAAGAGAATTTGATGTGATCATCACAAAACCGACTGCATTTAGTATTTCCTTAATAATATTAAGATTTTTTTTAAAAAAATTCTTTTATTACTTTATAGAAAACGGGTTGTACAAAATCACAAGAATATCTTTTATACACTTATTTTATAACAAAATTTAATGAGTTTCAGGTTAATTAACATCGAAATATGAAGTTAAAACTGCAACTTTCAAGTATCAACAAGAATATTTTGAGGAAATCAATTCTAATGAAAATTTTTTTTAAAAAATAAAATATTCAATTTAAAAAAAATCCAGTAATTCTTTTTTTTATAAGTATATATTCTAAGATTTGAAATAGTTCCATTGCTTGAATCTACTTCAACTCAAGACATAATACATATAGTTTATTAATTCATTTGATCCATAAAGTAAATCATATTCGATAAACAAGCATGGTATGCAGAGGGAGTATGAGGGAATAAATATAACGGTATAAAGAAAACCACAAGCGACAGCTTATTAAGCGACGTCTCACATTAAGATATTGTTATTTTCATTGTATTTTTATGATAACACAATACCTCTCTTATTGTAGGCAATGCGGTCAATAAAAAGAAAATTTAATGAAAATTTATAAAGAAAGCTTTTATTCTGTATAACTTTGGGATATTATATATCCCAAAGTTATATATATATTTGGTATATATATATTTGGTATATATATATTTATTATATATATATTTGGTATATATATATATATATATGTATGAGTATATATGTATACTCATACATATATACTCGTATAGTAATATAAAATATTTAGTTTAATTGAACATTAGATATCCTCTGACTTCAATTAAAGCATTATTAATTCACGTTTCTATAATTATAACTCACGAGCTGAAAAGTGTATAAAAGGTGCTGATATTTTAAAATCAGGGATTTGTTAGAAAACATTAATATATTTCTAAAAGAATGGACCATCTATGTATATATGTTTTTTCTTTGTTATCTAAAATATTTTTATCTGTACTTACCTTCTCTATTTATTTTTCCAAATTTTTTTTTTAAAAATATCACATGGCTTGAATTATGAAATTAAATAGAACACGCACGTTATTAAACGTTATACGCAAATTGTATAAAACGTTATACGTAAATTTTCTAATTTTAAATTTAAATTTTGATTTAATATACTTGTGTTCAAATCTAAAACCAAATTTACAATACCATGTTAGATTGTAACTTATACAAATGAATAGACCATATGATTGCAAAAAAAAATAATAATAATAATAAATTCTTGGTAGATATCTACTCTCTTCGTATATGAAATAGTGTCTCCTTGAAATGCGCATGATCTGAAATCAAAAAAGGAAAACAAAATAATAAAAAAAAAAACATAAGATATAGCCATATACGAAAAAAGACGTACTATGTGTTTTTGACATAATTTTTGACAAAAAAGTAAAACAAAAAAAAATATTTAAAATTTTACCTTAATAAATGTTATTCGTACAATAGCTAACGACCAAGTATTGCGCCCATTTTACATACTAAGAAAAAAATTTTATGTGAAAAATTTTTATTTGCATGCATAAGCAAGTGTGTATGTATCCACTTACATACGTTGTACAATATTCAAACTTTTGACACGCAATAAAATTGTAGTAAGATTTCCGAAAAGTACATTTTTCAAGATTAAAATGTTATATCCAAATTTAAGCCCTTTAATTATTAAAAATATGACTCAACGGTGTTGCAAAGTTACTCCTAAAACGCCTCTGTCTAGCAGTTTCTTTGTTGTATTGTTATTTTCTAAACAGAGCCGATACACTTGGTTTCAGAATTTGCTTTTACTTTATTATATCCTACAAGAATTTCTTAATTTTACACACTTATTCAAAACGAAATGTATGTACGAAGGCAAGTATATAGCTAAATAAATTACTCCTTTTGACAAAAGTACGCCTAATTTCTAAAATAAAGTCTAAACATGTAAGTATAACGGTACATGTGCGTCCGAGAAATATTTTTAAAATATTAAGAGGTAGTAAAATATTGAGTCTTTAGAAAGAAGTTCGAATAAATTTAGACGCACTTTTAAAAATAGTGTTATTTATTTAATTCAAACCCAATAAAACTTTTATTTTGAGAATTCTCTATATTATGAAACTATTATCATGAAACTATTTTGACATATCATACTCATATGTAGATACATATTATAAAAATGAAAATTTTCAATAATAATTTATGCCCAGACAAATAGACCAATTACTAAATTAACTATATGAAATCACGCGATTTTCTTATTATATTAATGTAAAATAAATTACAAAAAATGTTCCCTAATATTTTATTGTTAAAATAATAATCTTTTTCTTTATTCATATTTCGTTTTTATTCGAATATAGGAGTGATACCAACCTACTAAAATATATAGATGCATATGTATATATTATATATGTACATTTATTATTATAATAAAAAATATTTTATCTTTAGTTTTATCATGTTATACACAATATTATTATCCTTTTAAATCTAAATATCCTTTTGTATGAATGACACGAAAAGTTTACTTCAAAATCTTAGAACTTAGGTCAAGAACAAAATAAAATCTTAGTATATAGAAAATGGCGCAAGAGATACATAAGTATATTTACCTTTATGTAAATAAAATGTTCTTAAATAAGAAATATAAAATTTTATATACATAGATACTCTCACATATTTAAGGATATTATACAAGTGTACAAGTATGACCTTACATTATTATGTTATATACAAAAAATATAATATGTTATTTAATTATTCATTTTCGTTTTCACACAATCTTTATAAAGTATGTATTTTTAAAGGTACAAAGTGCTCCTATTCTAGCAGGCAACTCCTATAATCTGTTTGCAGAAATAAACATGCGAATTATGTATGTCTATACGTATATGTAACATAAAACACAAAGATGGTAATTATTTTCAGATTACCGATTTAATTTTTTGTAATATAAAATTCAATAAAATATTATACTTGTATTATAAAATTAATAGTAAATTTCATACTTTGCAATAAAATAAATATTCTAATCCACAATATTATTTTAGTTAATTGTGGCACGAAAAAATTAAGATTTTTAAGAATATTAAACTAAATTTCAATACCACAATGTAATGATTTACGTAAAACTTTGGGAATATCTCATTTTTGATTTTAAGCTATGATACTAAGGTATGACAATAACAATTAAATAATGTAAACTCAAACACTCTGTAGATAATGAATATTTTAACAAATAATAAAATATAAATCATTGCATGTAAATTTTTTACAAACACGTCCTTTAAAATACGTAAAGAAATTTTTCATACCTTTATCAAATTTATATTGGATTAAGTATAAAAATTAATTTTCAACAATAAATTGATATTATGTGGAATATCTATATAATAATTTTATATTTATATACTTCATAAAATATGTATGCATGGAAATGTTATTTACATAAATAATGTGATTTCACTGTCTGAAATAATTTTTGTGATGATAATGATATAAAAAAATTTTTTTTGTAAAATAATTCCCAAAATATTTTCTAATGTTTCATATATGTCCTCTTATCCATACAAAATTAATTAAATTTTACATTTAATGAAATAAATTTGTAAATGAAATTTTATAATTCTATAAGTTAGAAGTAGTACATATAAGTAACAAGGAGTTTTAAAAAAAATCAAAGAAGAAGCATTGTAGTAAAATCATTTTTGATGCAATCATATCTTTTGTTATTCCATATAAGAATAACTATAAAAATACTAAAAACTAAATTATTACATTTCTTTTCAATTTTTATTAATACCATACATTTCGAAAACAATTTATAGAGTATTTAATTCAACAATTTCGGTTTTAGACAATACGATTAACTTACAATATGATTAAACAATTTTAAATTTTGCAATAATAGAAATTATTTAATGTTAAGGATTCAAAATCTTTACTTTATTCATTGATCATTTTTTAAGTAGCCTCTTTTTGTTGTTAATTAATAAATAAATAAATAAAATTAATTAAAACTGATTTAATTAATTAGCTTGGAACCAAAATTGTTAAAATAATTGAAACAAATTAAAAAGAAAACCACATGATTTTCTTTAGAAATCAAAATCATAGAATTTAAAAACACAAAAATATTTAAAAGATTTTATTATTTTTATGAAAAATCTATCCTCATTAAAAATAAATTTAACCTCATTAAATGATTTATTAATCCTCCTTAACAATAATTAAAATTAGAAAAGAATAAGATTTTTCTAAATAATACTAATAATATGGATTTTAAATAAAATATTTGATAATATTTATAAATACTATATTAAATTATATACAAATTTATAATGTTTTTTAAATATCTTAGTTTTGTTAAATGAGGTACAATATTACATTTTAAAAATGTAAATGAATATTTTTTTTACAATAATTTGTTAATAACAAATAATAAAGGAATTAGTAACAATTACATATTATATAAAATAATAATTCATTATAATTAATACATTCGTAAATATAATTAATTTGATTATTTTAATCCATTAATCAGGATAAAATTTAACAAAACATTTTATCTTATGTAATAAATATTAATTTATTTGAAAATTCTTTTCAAAAGTTACATACATATAATAATAATAATAATATAAAATATATTCTTATTTTAAAAATAATAACCATATTTGAATAATGTAAAAGCACGAATGCAATGACATTAATAAATTATAAGAAATATTTTTCATTTCGAAAACTGAATACAAGTGCAAAAAAAAACATAATATATTCATAATTAAAAAATTTACTGATACTTTTTTCATATATTTTATCAATAACACTAGAATTAAATTCTACAATCCGAACTAATTCTGATTATAAAAATTTGATTTCATTGATTCCGAACTTACTGTGCCAAATCCCTTTGAAACGTTTCCCAGGTTGCTATCTAAAAAAAAAATGTAACAATAAATTAAATATTTTTAAATTTCTTTTAAAACAGATTTTAGCTTGATCATATAAATGAGTTTATTATAAGAAACGCAAAACTTCATATTTTTCTGGTAAAATTTTATTTTTTTATAAAAAAATCATATTTGAATTTCGAGTAACGTAAATTTTGCATTAAAAAAATATTTTAAACATACATAACACATTTCATTACAAAACACTAAATTACACAATCTAACATACAAATAAAAAAAACATAAAAAAGTAAAATATTAATATGCAAATTGAATATTTAAACTACAACTTATTTAATTCAATAAATATAATTTAAAAATTTATATCCAATAAAATTCTTTATTATCATCTTTTAAACACAGAACCTGAAGAATACCTGCCATTTATGTAATTTTAATAAAATAAATTAATAAAGGGATATCAGTAAAATAATGGAACCGTTGACACGGATATCCTGATGATTACTTAATTCAAAAACCCAAAAGCAGTTAATTGAATTTGTATGATTCGCAAATTTTAGTTTTAAAGGAATAACAATATTTAACAAGAAGATCTCATTCATAGCAAGTAATCTAAAGAAAAAAATCAATTTAACTAGAAAATCTTTCTTAATATGGATAAATAAGAAAAAAAGAAAAATACATAATACAATATTTTAATAGAAATAAAACGAATACACTTTTATTAAATCATGAATAATTAAATAAATAATGATAATTTTAATGTTTTAAAAGTCAATTTACAATCAATATAAAACTTTAATTATTTTCATTTATAAAACTTCATATTCATTTACCATTATTGTTTATTATATTTCTATCACTAATTGAGATATTAAATAATAATATTTTGATGCTTTTTTGTCGAGAATACATGTATGTAGGTCTTCCAAAGCCAATATCAAAATAAAGAAACTTTAATTTCTTAGTTTCATAATTTTTTTTTCTTTCAAACAAAAAATTCATTATTTCTTACAATATCTCCTATTTTTAGAAATCAAAATCTCTTATTGCATTATAAACTTTTCATAAAAATGTATAATAAATCATTCATCTTAATTTTTACAAATCATGCAAAAATGAGTTATTTATGATAATATAAAAACAATACATAAAAGTAAAAATTTATAACAAACTTAACAATTAAAAAAAAAATGTTTCTATAATACAATTTAAAAAAAAAAAGCTCTACCTTTATAACTTTATAAATTATAAAAACTTTGGCAATTTATATTTTTTCTTTCCATTTTATATTTAATGTTTAATTTCCATTTTATAAAATGCAATATAATTATTATATAAATTTACCTAATTTTATAAAAACATAATTTCAAATTCTTTTTTCCTTCGCACATTGTTCTGAGTTTTTTTTTTTTGTTGTTGATTTTTTAATTTAAAAATAATTGAAAACCACATATAATCAACGCTTTTAAACATTCAAATCGAAATAATAAAATAATCGAAGTAAATTAATTATATTTGACTTAATTTAATATCCTAAAATTTCTACTGTACACAAGTTGATGTTTTCTTGGTTTTGTTTTTTTAAATATTTTTTAAACAAAATATTATTTATTTTTTTCATCTCTTTGTCATTGAATTTCTGCTTGAAATGTTTCCCATGGTGCTATCTGTAAAAGTTTACTTCCTTTAAAATTCATTATTCTTATTATGAGATTAATTAAAAATAATTAAAACTTCAACTAAGTTTTTGATTTGATTTTTGAGTCAACCAATAAATGTAGAATATACGAAAATTTATACTAATAAAAATTTTAACTGAATCAGTTAATATAATAATACAATATTATTAATATTGTTATAAACATAATATTTTAATATATAACATTTTAATATATAATTACATATACATATATTTATTAAATTTTTCTATTTATGTATTTATTTATTTCGAGTAAAGTAAAAATTACAATGGAACTGAAAATATTTACTCATATTTCAGAATCATTGTGTATCACAATAAAAATTTTACTTATACGCTGAATAAGTATTAGAAAATTTCGATTTTACTTTTATTTTTCAAATTAGAAAATTTTAATAAAACGAGAAAAACTGAGAATAATAAAAAATATTATAGTTGCTAAATTCAATATTTAATATTTAATTTTTATAACGAAAATATCACAAACATTAATTTTGCTATATTAAAATTTTGTGAATTATTTGAATTATATTGTTTTTAAAAGTTTTTGTGGTGGTAACGAAACTTTTACAGAAACACAAAATTCTACACATTAAAGAAAGAATTAAATAACAAATAGTTTTGATATTGGTTTAGAATGTGATGAATTTGAAACAAGAAAAAAATGTTATCTTACTTTCTTGATATGAGATTTTTTATGTTGCGCATATTTTTTAGTAGCCAAATAAAGTTTACTAAGAAATTCTGGCAGTTGTTTTTGAGCTACCCAGGAAGTAATAGTTGACGGAATCGCTAGTCCTGGATTGTCAAAATATGTAAGAACGTATTCTAGACCTAAAAAATATATTTTGGATAATTAACTATTCTTGAAAAATATTTGATAATTTTTTATTATTTTTCTGTTTTTCACTATTACCTGGTTCATTGAATGATTTGAATGGTTTTATAACCATATAACTCCAATATTCTTCAACTCTTTGCTTTTTTGGGTTAATTGGACATTTAGGATGAGATGTACTTTTATTACATATTATTATTATATTATTAGTTTTATCAACATAATATCGTCGATTATAAACATAATCTCTATTGGCAAATAATTTCTAATTTATAAAAAAATTTAATTAAATTTAATATAAATGAAAATTTAATATAACCTACAGGCCATTGCATTTCCCAATATATTATTTGAGATTTTCCACAATCTGTTGGATCTGCATCAATTATTTCTAATTTAGCTACGGAATCATCCCATTCTTTCCTATATTCCAAATCCGTTTGAACGTGAAGGAAATCGTTTGCCGTAATGTCAGAATATTTGGCATACACTATAAAGATTTTTATAAGTTAAAAATTCATTTTTATAAGTATGTTATTGAAGTTTAAAAGAAATTAATAACAAAATCTACCTTTATATGCATATAGAGCAGATTTCTCTTCTCTTCTCCATATTGTTAAACCTTCTTTTTCAATATATGGCACCCATTCATCATTTTCTACCTGAGGATTGTTACAAATACAATATTCAATACCCTCTACTTTTTCACTAATCCTTTTCTTTTTTCCACATGCTCTACAATAAACAGTATCTGCTAGTAATTTCTTAGCGTAAGCTATTTCATTTGAATAAGATTTTAGATCTTCAGATTTTATTCGTTGAACTCTCCAATCGAAAGCTAACGCTCCCACTGATGAAAACAAAATCCGATTAAAACGTCTTCGAAACTAAAAATATCGATTATGTAAAATTGGATAGAGATACATAAATGTAATTTAAAGCAAACGTAAGTGTGTCATTAAAACATTAATAAATATTAAAGTTTTAGAAGCTAAATGCAAATATTTTAATTTTAAACTCTATTTAATGTTAAATAAGTTTTTGTCATAATACAAAATTAAAATCTGCAATATTTCATTACCGGCTGCTTTGCATTTATAAGAAACCCTATAAATCGCATTTTAAGCTTTATACAACAACATAATTTAATGTTGGAAGTAGAAAAGTTAAATTAAAGTACATCTAAAATTTACCTGTGTCTGGAAACTTTGTAGGAGGTCTAAAAATATTGCATCGCCTAGCAATCTTTGGTAAAATATCGTGAATTGGTATCCTCTTCTTAACCTCTGTGCTAAAATGTATTGTATTTGATTTACCCATAATCCGAAAAAACTTGCTTTCTTTTTATAACACCTATCTTGATTATTATTAACTAATTTTAATTTTAATATATTTTGTAAAGGTCTTGTGTACCATCTTATGTTCATTTTCTTAGTAAATAAATTACTAATCATAATAATTTCTTCTTTTCTGCTCAAGAAAATGATAGCACACTAGAAAATGTTGCTGTTTGTTATCAAGAAGATGTTGCTATGAATTAAATGTCAAATATTTGGGAAACATTTTGTCACTTTTTATTTGAAAAACAACAAAAAACTCCAAAGTCGCCGCTTTATAGACTCAAATAAAAACGTGAAGAAAATTTTTTAATATTATATGTACCTATTTTTGTGAAATTCTAATCCCATTTTGATAACATTTATTAAATAACGATAAAAAGAACAAAAAATATAACATGGGGGACTATGATTCAAATATAAATATTGATGATAAGGAACTGCAAGAATTTCTAATGGTGGAAAAGCAAAAAGCCCTAGTAAATGCCCAAGTGAGTAAAAAATATACATATCAACAAATCCTTGTTATCAATTCAAAATGATAAAAATTTTTAGATACACGAATTCAACGAGATATGTTGGGATAAATGTGTGGACAAACCCAGTAACAAATTGGATTCAAAAACAGAAACGTGCCTTAGCAATTGCGTCAATAGATTTATAGATACATCTTTATTAATTACAAATAGATTTGGCCAAATACTACAGAAAAGTCAAGAAGGAATGTAGTGTAAAGAAATATTAAAGTAATTAGAAAGTAATTTGCCGTTTTATAGTGTTATAAAATTGTAATGAATTTCAAAAGGCATTGATATGTAGGTTCAATTTGATTAAAGGCAAAAATTAGAAAATACCCTGCATGTTTTATAATTTTAGTATTTAATACATATTCCTAATTCTTACGCTACCCCGCTATTTTTATGTGAACTTCTAATTTATAAGAGAAGCATTAATTTAAAAGTTCTGGTTTTGAAACATTTTTCAAACTGCACTTTCAATACTGAATGAAAGCTTAAAAAAAACATCCCTTTTATCCGTATAAAATTATTGATCCCTATAAAATTATTGATCTGTAAAAATGAAAAGCGAAAAGTTTATTCAAATTATTTCTTTATTGTTGTAACTATTATATCCTTAAGCAATAAACTCATATGGGACTGGAGCCAATAGAATTGGTTCATCTACTTTTTTTACGAAATGTGCTTTTTTTGGTTGCTCAGGAATACGTTTTAAGTTAACCATTATCTTCTTTTCTTTTGCTTCCTTTAATTTGCGTTCGTTTTCCTTGACGCGACGTAAGAAGTCTTCTCTACATTTAGAATGACTAATATGTTCAATACGTACATTAATTCTTTTTGGAATAATTCTGTGACGAACTCTTTTGTTTACAATAACACCAACAGCATGTGAAGTTACGTTGTACACTCTTCCAGTTTTACCATGATATGCTTTGTATGGCATACCTTTTTGCACGGCACCATGTCCCTAAAAAATTTTAACAGATTGCTTAGATATTTTTTTTATTAATAAGATAAACATAACTTACTTTGATGTCGACAATATCGCCTGTTTTATATACTTTTAAATAAGTTGAAAGAGGAATGACACCATGTTTTTTAAATGGACGGGAAAACATATCCCTTGTTCCACGACGGTAACCTTTTGAATTGGTCATTTTTTATAACGCTTTGCACCTAAAACAAAAATAAAATAACCTATAAGCACGTGTAATATCGAAAAAAAATAACACTTATTTTTCTATTTTGCGCCATTTAAACTTTATAAAAATACAAAATAATCGATTCTAAATTTATTTAAACAAATATTTTAAAGGGAAAAATATAAATAACTAAAATTTAAAGTATTTTTCCTTTAAGATTTACTTACAACGTCTTGCTTTTATAGAAATTGGTTAAAAAAGGGTATTGAAATTTTCAATGACAGTCCACATCAGCTAGCACCATATTCATATTACACAAAATAACTTCAACTAGCGACATATTTGACATTTGGTAGCTTCTCATCTTTATGTTAAGAATATTTTTAATTATTGTCATTTTCAAATCCCATTCATTCTTTGGAAAGAATTAAATTTAGAATTTTACTGAATAAAGTACTTTGATTTGATCTATTATTACAAGTTTTTTAGTTAAAATGATATTGTACATACTCATATTTATTGTAAATTTAGAAATGATATTTTGTAAATTTTTATGACATTTTCTTTCAACGTTTAAATGTCATATATTGTTTGCTGGGAAATGACTAAGTAAGTTGTATCCAACAAACATTACAACATTTTTAAGCTAATTATCCATTGATAGGGTATGACATTATTAATGAAGTTGTAAAAAGTGAAGTGTTGTGGGTTTTTGTATTCGTAATCTCTTAAAATTTTTCTTGTTTCTTTAAAATTAATTCGAAAAAGAAAATTTTTACATATTAAATTATGGAAGATTTAAAAAATGGGGGTATTGAAAGCGATCCAGCTGCTGATTTCTTAGCAAGGGAACAATCAGCTTTTGCTTCATTAGAATCAGAAAATGATTTTGTACGAATCAACTCTGATAATATTGGTAAGTGATTGAATCATTTGTAACCTAGTGCAATATTAAAATTTCTTTGAAAACTAAAGTGATTTTTATTTTGACAAAACATGGTTTTCTAAAAATTTTATGTCACTTATGTACATCATTATTAAATAAAAAATTTTTGCTTTTGCATATTTAAAATTTACAAATTGGGAGTCCGGATGTAACTATAACGCCCTCTTTTTTTATATTGGAAATAATTTTTAAATGATAATGATATTTAAAAAAAAAATTGAAACCTCTATTAGAAATGGCTAATTTTTTTTAGTTTTTAGTCTTGGAAACATTTTAGTATAACTTATTATTTAGCATTAATAAAATATATCTAGCTTAAAATGGAAGTAATAGATAGATCCATCTTTGCTTAAAGTGATATAAAATTCAAACACCACACTTTATTAAAGTTGGTAACAATAATGGGAAGATAAAACATGTTTGTCAAAAACATAAAATATTCTGATCATATAACAGTATTTTAAAACAACTTCTTTTAGCCCCAACGATTATGGGAGATTTCGAGCAAAATGGAAGTTTTGATATAATGAATTCACAACCACAAGAAAACCCTGGTACCTACCTAATTATTTTGCTTTTATGTATTAATATTTACTGAATTCATATTTTTTTGTTTGTTAGTACCCGTCCGGGATGAACCAGAAAAAATTAAATTGTGGAGAGAAGAACAAAAACTAATTTTGGAGAAAAAGGATGCAGAAGAAGCTAAGAAAAAGGAGGAATTACGTGAACAAGCAAAACAAGAACTTAAAGATTGGTATAGACAGCACGAAGAAACAATATCTAAAACTAAAGCATCAAATAGGTAAATATAAATCAATAAATTTTTACTTAATTTTATTTGAATTTTTTATTCATATTTAAATATATTTGAGTGTCCTTTGAAAATAAAAAAAATGCTGTTTTTGTAATATACATTATGTATTTATATCATTTATATTTAAACGCTAAACCAGTGGCTTAGCTATTATTTTCTTTGCGACACTTAAAACGTTTTTAAATATTTACAAAAAATATTTTTCTCTGTTATTACATTAAAATGATAAAATATGCATCTATTTGGCCTAATTGTTCTCTCATTGTTTATATTTTTTACTCTTTTAATTTTTTACTAACAAAAAGGGAATCAGCTAAGTAAGTATAAAGGCTTATTACAACAATTCAAATATCTTTGATGTGAAATTGTTTAGTGGTTGATATTTTCTTTTAAGTTTCTGCTAGTAAACTTTATATTTTATATTGTAATTTTGCAAAGAAACTTCTGTCTACAAACATAGTTGTATTATCTCATAAATTTTAATTTTTTTTTTTCAATTTTCATTTAAAACACACATAATTATTTCTGTTTTTTGTGTAAAAATTTTATCCACAATTTTAGCAAATAGAATTATTTTTTACTGAAATAGATTCATAGATATTTTTGAGTTTTTTGTAAAAATAGTTTGATTGATTTTTATGTACGACAATTTCATAAATTCTTGATCTTTCTTTTTAGAAATGCCGAAAAACAATGTGTTCAACTTGAAAATGAAGAAATTGAACCAGGTACCGAATGGGAAAGAATCGCCAAATTATGCGACTTTAATCCTAAGGCTAGTAAATCAAGCAAAGATGTATCTCGCATGCGATCGATTATATTACAATTGAAACAAAATCCTCAAACTCAAACGTTAAGAAAAGCGTCTTAAGATAATAGTATTTTTTTGCGTTAAAAAATCTATTGTAATAAATTGAAATTAACAAAACAAAAAAAAAACGTGAAAGCTTAGAATTTTCTTCAATTGCCTTTCATCAAAAATTAATATAATAGAAAATAAATGTAAAATATTCCATTATTATAATTATATTAAAAAAATGAGTTATATTATTATCCTTTGGTTTAAATAAAATTATGTATACAAAAGTATTGGCAATTCCTTAATTTTTATTTAAAAACAATTAACAAACCCTTTTTTTAAATACGTTGTAAGATATAAGATTCAAATAAAATATATAATGTAGAATGTTAAATTTATTTTTAATTTCTTAAATAAAAGTATACCAGTATACTGCATATGTCACAATTTTCTTTTTTCATTGAGTCTTCACATTGGCTACATTTCTTTTATAGCATTTAATAATTGAAAACTCAATGCGTATCTGTTATGTCTTTCTTTTGTTTTTTCCATCCAATCTTCTTTCTTTTTTTTCCATTCAACTTTATGCGCTTTCAAAAGTTCTTCTTTTGTTGAATCTAAAGAATTAATTAACTGAAAAATTAGAGATCTTATAATATTGATATAGACATAGTACGTATTCAAAAAAACAATTACAATATCCTCAATGATTTTTTTTTCCTTAACCTCTCTATCTTCATCAATTTTGTCTTTTGGTGCTGGCATTGCTGTTATCAATCCTATTTCATTTTTCAATATGTTTTCGGTTAACTCTAGCATTTTTTCTCTTTTAGGAGGTTCTAGGCATCGATTTCTTACCTCGCTATATAAGTGCATTCATGTTACTACAAATATTTCATTAAAAAAACCTATTTACCAATCGACGCTGTTTGCTCTTGGCCTATTTATGTTCCATGCACGACAAACTGCATACAAAGCTGTATTTTCTTGAAATTTTGCTAGATCCAAGCTTCGATCAAAAAGTTTCATAACAAAGCTCTCATGTACAGAAGTCGCGTTTTCAGACTTGTCTTGCTTGACGCGCTTTGGAGGTCTCCCTCGTAGAGGCATGTTAATTTTATCATTTTCATCGTAATCATCATCCAATTCAGCTAGATCTTGTAAAATTCCCAACAATCTTCCACGGGCTAGTTGAATTTCATTATCTAAAATTTTAGAGTCGTAGCTTATTTTTACGAAAAGAAAAATTTTAAATTACATACTTGCTCGTCTTTTCGGCATTGTTATTTGTTTTAAAAATTTTTCTTTTATTTAGAAAATTGTTTTTCAATTTTAAAATGCTGATCTTTAACAAAATTGTTGTTTTTCTTTTTGATGAATGTTGAGCAACATAAAGATGTAAATTATGTTTATTGCAGTCAATATAGTGTCATTGAGTTAAATTGACACACAATATTTTGATGTTTCAGCTCTTTATTTAAGTCTTTAGAAAAATTAATACGGCGATTTTTTGATATGTTAAAATTACAGATTGAAAATTTTATACTCATTACACATGAGGCTTCTTTCAAGCTACTCCAGAATTAGTTTTCATTTCTGTGTAACATAATTCTTTATAAACTCCATATAAATAATCATAATAAAAATGATCTCGAAATGTCAATTTTAGACTCCTATGAGTAAAACAAGAATTTTTTCTTTTTTCATTTTTATTTTCATTTTTTCTTGTACTTAACTGTGAAATGAAAAACATTTTAAAACATGTAAATTGGTAGTGCAAACATGTAGGTGAAATAGAATAAATGAAATAAGTGTTCTGCATTTATTGTTTCATTGAATACCACAATACCACAGGGTAAAACAAATTTGATAAGCAGCCAAAATATAGGAATGGTTTTAATTAAAAATTTCTAATAAATAAAAATATTTTTTATAAATAAAAAACCTTTGAAAAGCTTTCTTATTACAGCAGAGATTGAACAAACGATTGGTTGTGTTCTCATTTATAACGAAATTAAATACGAAACTTAAAATTTATAAAAATTTTTGTAAATGTCAAAATAATAAACTCAAATAATTTCTTTTAAACTCTTAAATCTAAAACTTAATCAAAACGCAATGCAGCACTTCAAAAGTTGACAGTTTCAAAATTCAATTCATAATAAGTTAAATTCATTATACAAAAAAAACTTAAATCTGCTATTCAAAATTGAAATAAGTTCATCTTGAAGTGCTACTCTAAAATAATATTTTAATTTCGTGCATGCATGTTTAATTTTAAAGTGCAAATGTGTCAGCAGCTTTCAAGTTTTCAAGTGCAGTTGTCGTAGGATGATGGCTAAAAGTACGTGATAAATATAATCAATATGCAAAATACATTACAAAATTTGACAATTTAATAGTTTTGAGTAGTTTCTTGATATGTCAAGATTAAAAGCAGGACTTCAAAGTGACAGATTCAATATTTTGTATTCAATATTCAAAATTTTTGTATCAATAAGTTGTCAAATAGTAAATTTTGAAAAAATAAAGGTATCGAATAAACACTATTCTGTTTACTGTTAAAGCCGGAGCTCTTAGTTTACAAATATTTTGTCGTCTGTCAAAATTAAAAAAAACGTAATTTTTGAAAGATTTTCTACACATCCATCATCAATTGCTCAATATTTGAATTTTTCTTTCTAGTTTGAAAATCAAACAATCAGCTAGCGTTACAAATGCTTAAATGAAAATTCTTATAACAATTCACTTGATTTACTTTTATATAAATTAATAGATCAGTGAAAATTTCATACCCAAATAGTTAGCCCACTAGGAAATTAAAAGTCAAATTGAATACTACATCATTCTCTTAGAAATTTCTACAAAGAAGAACACACATTAGTTTCTAAAAGTTTAAAAATTTCATCCGAAAGTACTTTGAAAAGGTGTCCAAGTTCTATTGAACTGATGCACTTGAATTCTACCACAGAGTCATATAAGAATACAACAAAATTACTACTTTGTTTATTGGGTAAAAACTTAATTAATGTTTATAGGGACTTTGGAAAGAACTTTGCTTTGGACAAGACAAGAACAGAAGTTTGGTTGGCGGACGACAAGTTAAAAAGAAATATATTAAGGAAAATCAAAATTAATTGAAAAATAATTAAATATAAAAAAAATTAATTTTTGTGTCGCCGGTTGATCAAATTCATAGTGTTTCTAGTTCTTGTCGTAAAGTTACAGTTTTATTAGAAAGGTCAAGTGGAAGTGGAAGTTTATGTACTTAATTAAAAAGACATTATATTTTGACATTCAAATTAAATTCACAATAGGTATTTTTGTGAGATATGATTTGTGAGCTTTCAGTACGAATTACGGTATGCATATTGCACAATCCATATTTTTGTTATCAATGCAGAATATAAGGTAAAGGCTGTAGCCTAAAAACGAAAATTAAAAAATAATAGAATTAAAATACTAAAATTCTTTGGCGATCGAAGTTTGAGTATAAGTGATTTATTAATATAAAAAACCTTAAATGTAGTAAAGGTTTGGATTGGAAATTTGTATCGTTTTTTTTTTCTAATAAGAAAGTGTATCTTATAAAATATTTTATTTTTAATAAGCATATTATTTTTCAAAAATAATTATTTTCGAAAAACTGATTTCTTTAAAATAAAAAATAAAATTTGACAGTTGACATAAAAGTAATAAACAAATTAAATGCTGAAGTATTGAACTTAAGAACTGCAATGCTGTAAAACTAGAACATTTTACTTGACAGTACCATAACATTGGAATAAAAATCATTAGACAGAAGATATCCTCTACTCCATTCGAAGAAAACTATTGATTTCAGGAGTTTGTGTTCACGAGTATGTTTAATGAGGTGTTAAAATTCTCACATGATTTTTGCTCAAATATATTCCAATATTAAATTTTAATTTAAAAAATATAAATAATTGATATAAAAAATAAATAATAAAATTATTACTATTTATTAAAGTGCAATTAGAAATTACAGTAAATTCTATAAAAAATCAATTAATATTAATATTGTGTTCAAATTGAGTGTCAGAATATTTTAAGTGATTTCCACATTCTATATATATTAAACGAGTTAAAAAAAAATTACTATTCAATAATAATGACATCATTGATCCTTTAATGGAGTTTTTTTATTGGAATGCGGCAAAATTAATTTATTTGGAACTATGATATGTTGCGGCCAACTAAAAATTTTTATAAGAATTTTAACAACGAATCTCAGTTGAAAGAAGCTGTAGGCGACGACGACGAAAAAACATAATTCTTGAATAAAATCTGCAATGAGCCATAAGAAGCTAATTAAAAGGTTGCGATCACCCTGGAGATGGATCCAGGTTTTTATTATGAACTTGGTTGTACTTCTAGTTTCAATAAAATCAGGTAAAATAATACAAATACATATTTTATTATTTTTAATAATTATATTAATTCCATCTAATATATTAATGAATGATTTTATTATTGATAATATACACAATATGTACCTATGTACATATTATATACATTAAAAAAAAAAAAGTGAAAAATTATATATATATATAAAATATATTTATATATTATATAAGTATAGCTTCCGACATGCTCAAGGCAATTTTTATATTTTTATGTTTTATTTTAAATTTTCATTTTCTAGGTATTTCTAGTTCATGCAATTTTAACAGTGTTATGTAATATCTATATATACCTAAATATATAGGTATAGTTGAAATGAGATGCCTAAATTTTTTTTTAGGGGTTATGTAGGTATAACTACTAAATTTTGGCCTATTTGCAGCAAGTGTCATTATAACATTAAGAGGTTATGTACGGACACATAGAAGAGTAACTCAAAATAAAACAAATATTTAAAATGATTTTATTTATAATAATTAATTTATTATTTTCTTTTTTTATCTTTTTAAGCTCAATAGCAATTTATGAAATTTTCATTTTAAATAAATTAAGTATTCTTATTTATTAATTTATTTAATAAAATTCAATATAAAATTTTTATTTTGAATTTTTTTTTTTTTTTAAACTCTATGTTAATTTATTCTGCCGGTATTTATGTTCAAAGACACGTTAAAATTGCGTGTATAAATTATTGATTAAAACAGAAAATCATTTTGTATAGTAGTAAAACATATGAATGTACGTGTGAATATAAATGTATGTATATATATATATATTATATTTATGTACATATTAATATTTAAGTATATAATATGCTACATTATGTACTTTTCATCTGTATACATAATATAAAATGATGATTAATATTATATACTGTTTTGGTTAACAATTTTAATTGTTTGTTAAGGATATTTGAATATTTTCTCTCGTCTTTCACTAAAATAGCAAAAAAAAAAATATTTTTGCATATATTTTTTTCTAAATAAACTGTAATTTAAAAAAAAAATTATTTTTTTTTGCACACATTTTTTAAGTCAAGGTTTTTAACAGTAAAATACATTAATATTAATTTTTCTCTCAAAATTAAATAGAAAAAGAACAAAAATTCAATAAAGAATGATGAAGATATTATAGAAGATAGGTAGGCAGATAGGTAGGTAGGTACATCGGAACGTGTAGGAATATATCTATCTTTTTTAATTACATGACATGAATTTTTCTTTATATAATTAGTTAATAGAATATTAAAGGATAAAGACGAAATAAATTGTTTTTTTATTTTGCTTGTAAAATTAAAATGGGTTTTGTATTTAAAGTAAAAGAATAAGGATTTAATTGTACTTTTTAATATTAATATTTATAGATTTTGAATTTTTTTTTTATTGAATTCTTTTTTTGGTAGGTTACCTACTTTTTTTTATCGATATTTTAATTTGATATTATTTGCGAGAATAAAAAAATTGTGAATTTTTTTTTTGCAAAATTTTCTGGTGGATATAGGCAAGATATTAATTATATAAAGATAGTTTGGTAGATAGGCATGGTATACCTAGATAACCTTCAAAACAATCATCAATGAATAATATAATTTTTATAGATACCTATACCTTGATATACAAAATCAAATAATATGTAGGTGAGTAAACAAATAACTCATAAATAATAAGAATCAATACTGAAAATTTTTTATTTATTTATTTTTTTACTCTATTTTTTTTTTGTATGAAATAAATATTTAGGTATTTTTCATTTTGAAATATTTATATGGCCTATTGTCAGGATATTTTGAGGACGATTAAGAAAAAAAAAACAGAAAAATTAGTTTTCGAGGTCGTAAAATACCTAGATATTATATGTAACTTAGTCTTTTTTTTTTATTATTCTGTTTGTGTAAATGAAATGACTTACGCAACTCTTAGTTAAGGAATATTTAATGAAGCTAGGAAAAATAACAATGTTACCGGCAACAGGGAATGTGTATTTTTATTTTTGGAATTTCATATAATATAATATTTATTATATATTGGATTAGGTATATAGGTATAATATGTAAATATTTATTATATAGCAATAAATTGTTATATGATTATTGTTAACTTCCATATTTTCCATAGAGAATTTTAATTTTGTTTACTTAATACAAAAATTTATCTTGAGATTCTCCATAAATATGTAGGTACCTACATCCCTTTATTAAAAAACAAAATATTGCATAAATAGAAATTCAATATACATAAGCTATATTTAAATATAGTCCATTAAAAAATTTGATAAAAAGATAAACTCTGTTCATTTAATCCATTAACTTAGCTATGAGAAAATATTTTGGAATACTTAGGTAGAATCCCGGAAGCTTATCTTTGAATTTTTATTAAAATAATCAATACAATCTTATTAGAAATTCCAAATAATTCGCGTTATTGTGAATTTTCAATCAAAATAAATTTGCGAGTTTGCTAAATAATAAGCGTATATATACGTATGTATATCTTAATTAATTTATTTAAGGATGTAGGTATATCTATGCAATAAGTATTGCCTTATGTGTATTGGAACAAACATCTATTTTTATAAAAAAAATAAGCACCAAACAATTTCTACGAAAATAATATAAAAAAGATTTTAATTATTATCTTGTACAACAAATCTTTATATATATATATATACATATAATGTATATAAGAAAGTACAATATTTTTGTATCACACATACTCACTTAATTTTATGTTATTTAATTCTTGTATATTATTAAAGTACAAAGTAAATAGTATAATAATAAAATTTCAAAAAAAAAAAAAAACAAGTAAAAAAGTAATATCAAATTATTTTAATGGACATTTACATTTAATATCATGTTGATATTGTTATATATGTATATCCATATATATTCCTCATGTATATTATATACAAATCGCTATTTATTTATCTATATATTGCTTATTACTTATGTACGTAGCTACATATTACATATTTACTTATAATTCGAGTTTATTTACAAGGTTTTTTTGTTTTTCAAATTTAATAATTCAGAAATTTTATATACATATGTATATACTTACTAAGTATAATATTAATTTATTAAGCACCTTGTATTTTTCATAACCTCATTTTCAAGTGGATTTTACTTTTTGGTAGGTTTTAATGAGAAATTATTTTTAGTATCATATTTTAGGTGCCTAACTATATGTGCTTTGTTATATACGAATATATTATAAATATTGTATATTATTTCCTTAGGTATTTATGTATTGTAAATTTATTTACTAAAAAAAACCCTATAAGTACTTATTTTTATTTATTTATAATAGTTTAATTGTCCGAATCTAAAATTAAAACTTTCTTTGAAAATCTTTAATAAAATTTACTTAGTATATTTGAAATTAATTGTTTTTTAACATATTCTCAAAATTCTGATATATTTATTTGAGATTTTTGAAATTAGATCTAATAATTGTTAATCCTAGGTATACAATAATTAAATAAGAAAATTTTGTGAGATTTCAAAATCTAAAATTTTATATGAATTTCAATTGAAAATATACTTATTCTCAATTTTTATATTTTAGACAGGTACCAACTGAAAACTATTAAAATATTTATTTTAATAATAAGTATAACCTATGATATTCAATTATTCAAAATTAAAATCGATCAATATTTGAACAAACGTATTTAATTAGTAAATATTATAATATGTATGCCAGATGGGACTTAATTAATTTAAAATCAATTGCTAAACAAAAACGAAGTATCTATATAGTAAAATTTATAAAGTAAAGAAAAAATAACTAATTTGTATGGTAATTATTGTTATACATGATGGAATTAATCAATTTTGTCTGAAAAAATATTTAATTTTCATTGCTAAATGCCACAATGTTATTCAAATTTTTTTTTCCTTTTTTTGTATACGGAATAAGTAAGTAAACATTTTTTGTCAAGAATTTTAAGTTTGGATCATTAAATGCGAAAAATGAAAGATTGGTTTTTTGATTCAAAAATCAATTTAAGATAAAAGTTTTTCTGGTAACATTAAAATAATTTAAAGTTTTCTCAAGACAGAATTTCAAATAAACCTGATTTATCAAATTCGAAAATAGCTATTTTTGGATTGAAGCTAAAAAAAATTTAATATTATAATTTTTTCAATTCCGAAACCATATTTCTTTGATGATAAACTATACAATTGAAGATACGAGTAAATGAAGGTGTCATCTACAATTTTTATGAAAATGAATTTATTGTGTAAATAGAAGTGTTATATGTTTTATATTTCATATGGAAAAAACTGTTTTTCAAAAAACGACTAAGTTTAAGAAATCATTTGTCTTTAAAAGGTGTTATATCACATTTTTGAATTATTTTGGTTTGAAAGAAGGTTAATTTACTCGAAACTTTAAAAATTCTAGTAGACACCTTCATTCTTTCGTGTCTTCAATTTGTAACAACAGTTTTTCAATTAATTTATGATTTTTATTGAAAACAAAAAATCGAATAATTTCCATATATCTAAGTATGTAATTACAATCACATTAAGGCATTGATATTGTATAACAGTCACTAATTTAAATATAACAAAAATAGTTTAATATTATAATTACTTAATTAAATCGAAATGTTGTCTTCCTTATCCACAATTTTGCGTGTGTATCGAATTGCAAAATGAAAAATAAATAAAAAAAAAAAGAGAAAAAATAAATGTAATTACCTAAATCCATTTTAATGAAAATCCTATACAAGTTAAATTTTGTAAGTAAATGATTTGGAATTAAATTTCAATATTTACACATTTTATTTAAGCCAATTTAAATTCAATAAAAAATAATCGAATTAAATCAATTATAAAATTAGTAAAGTAAATTGTTTGAAAGAAGATTTAAATTAGTTTTAGTATAGAGGTGTTTATTTTCTTGTTTTTTGCTTTTATCTTTTTCCTTTTTTTTCGTACTTTATGCGTACATACCTGAACACCTTTGTAAATAATATTGAGGAATAATATTTTGATTTTTAAAAATTTACTACAATGTTGTTAATTAAACACAAAATGTGTTTATTTATTTTATATATTTGAATAGTAAATAACAAAAAAAAAAATTTATTGTAAGTACATAGAGTGGCCAGTTGAAATTTGTTATGAGTAACTACATTAGGAACAATATTTTTTAGTTTACTTATTACTGTATATGCTAAAAAAATAATTATAATTTATAATTTTTGATTTCAATTCTAATTAATTAAATGTTGAGGGTAAGCCAATTTTTTTCTTTTAAAAACTCAAACAACACAAATGCCTTTAAAATTAATTTGTTAATATTAATTTTTTATTACTGAATATGGAATATTATTGCATATTAAACTATAATATAAGTACAACACATCGCTAAAGGTTTAATATAAAATTCGAAGATATTCACAGAACAGGAGATTTTTTTTCTTTGCATAAAAACATTCGAGATTTAGAATTACTGATTAAATTTAGTATCGAGATTTAGAAATACTGATATATAATTCAGGTGATTTTTTAATTGCATTGCAATATTATATATAATAAAAAGAAGAGCTCTATATATAGTTGAACTCTAAATAATTTCAACGCATAAACAGCAGTTTTTTAACAATCAAAACAGTGGTAAAATTGGAATTTAGGTTATTTTACCGCACGAAGTAAAATTGGCGGCGGTAATTTTGTTTGATTTCTGGCAGTCCTAATTTAAATGTTTGTATAACCCTAGGTATATGAATTTTGAAATTAATTGAATTAATTCGCCGCTGAAAATATCTTGTTTTGTTTTATACCTAAACCAACGCCATAATTAGTTGTATGAGTGTCATTTTCATTTTTGTAAAAATTTTTGTAGTTACGTTATAACATTGTAACATACATATGTACATATGTAGATACAAAATGAACTTTTCCATTACACATTAGAGACTGCAGTTATTTAGTGCAATATATGAGATAACTTAAACCACACCTAAAAGTACATGAACGACGTTTTTTTTACTCACTTGAACATTTTATATGGTTATAAAAATTTTATATATATATATACACAATATATATATATATATATATATATATATATATATTTATATATTGTATACATACCTTAAATAATGCTTAATTAAAAGTCTTAAAAATTATTCTAATTTAATATAACAATTATTTTCAACAGCTCATTATTTAATTTGTTAAATATATAGAGAAACACACTTTTATTGGACATCTGTTTCCATGAGATGGGTTAGTTTGAGACGAAGTGCATTAAAGCATTTTATATTAACATCAAAGAGGAAAAAAAAAATATTTACAAAATATGTTCTTGCTTTTTATACCCTGCACTTCGTGAAGGGTATATTAACTTTGGTATGGAGTTTGTAACTACTTGAAGGAGTCATCTGCGGTATGGACATATATATATATTCTTGCTCAGCGTAAAATTCTGCGTCGATTTAGACATGTCCGTCCGTCCGTCCGTCCGTCCGTCCGTCCGTCCGTCCGTCCGTCCGTCCGTCCGTCCGTCCGTCCGTCCGTCCGTCCGTCCGTCCGTCCGTCCGTCCGATCGCACGATAACTCAAAAACGAATAATGCAATCGACACCAAACTTTCACAAGTTTTTTCTTTTGTGCCAAGGACGAACCCTATTGTTATTGGACTAAATCGGACAACGGGTTCGGGTAGCTGCCATACAACTCCAAGAGTTTATTTTAAATATTTCAAAAACTAATACAGCTATAAATATAAAATTTTGTATACATGTGTCCAATTATATTCTACACATGCCCTAAAAATTATAATGGGATAGCTGCACCGGTTCGGGTGGCTGCCATACAACTCCAATAGCAAATTTTTTATATTCGGCAAAATAATAAAGTCAGATTCATGAAACATGGCAGTCATGTGTCCAATTATAGGTCAAATATATTTCTGAAGTTTTAGAGGAATCGCTTGACAGGTTCGGGTACCTGCCATACAACTGCAGAAGTTAATTTTAAATATTTGGAAAAATAATAAAGTCAGATTCATGAAACTTGGCAGTTGGATGTCCAATTATGGCTCAAATATATTTCTGAAGTTTTGGTGGAATTGCTCGTCAGGTTCGAGTAGCTCCCATACAAGTCTAAAAGCTTATTTTAAATATTTGGAAAAATAATAAAGTCAGATTCATGAAACTTGGCAGTTGTGTGTCCGATTATAGATCAGATATATTTGTGAAGTTTTAGTGGAATTGCTTGACAGGTTCGGGTACTTGCCATACAACTCCAAAAGCTTATTTTACATATTTGGAAAAATAATAAAGTCAGATTCATGAAACTTGGCAGTTGTATGTCGAGTTATAGGTCACATATATTTCTGAAGTTTTGGTGGAATTGCTTAACAGGTTCGAGTAGATCCCATACAAGTCTAAAAGCTTATTCTTAATATTTGGAAAAATAATAAAGTCAGATCCATGAAACTTGGCAGTTGTGTGTTCGATTATAGATCAGACATGTCCGTGAAGTTTCTATTGAATGATTTCAGAGGTTCGAGTAATTGCTACACAATAACGAAAGGTGCAGGGTATAATTCAATCGGTTTATACCGACTGAAACGTTTTTACTTGTTTTTTATTTAATTTGTTTTTTTTTTATTTTCGTTTTATTTTTTATTTTTTTCTTTTTTTTTTCCTTTTTTTTTTGTTTATAGTTCAAGAGATATGGGAAAAAATGTATTCTTTAAAGTGAGGAGTGATGTTCCAATTTTATTGTTATTTTCAGCAAAAAAAAAAAAAAAACATTTTCTGGCTACCCGCCTGATTAATGTTTTAATATGACGAAAATGGAAGTGGTAAACAAATAGCTCTTTCTGATTTCATTTTTGTTCTGTATTGTTTTTTAATTTTTTTTTTTCATTTGTTTTATTTTTGAAACCGAAATATACATGTGATACATTATGTCTGAATAAACTGTGCTATTAAACAATGCATAGACAAAAAATATGAGAGTTTGTAGGAAAATTAAACACCTGTACAATTCTTATACTTTTACAAAAACTGAAACTATAACCAAAATTTTTTCTTTCTTTTTTTTTTTTTTGAATTTAAGACATGCATATATACATACATATGCGTATGTATTTATATGGTTCATAGACAATCATTTGTAACTCGTTCATCATTAGCATGTAAAAAACCTTCCCCTGCTCTGGATATTATTATTGGATTCTATCATTCAAATTACTAAATTTTACTAAAAGGGTTGTATCCCAAATTAAATTAAAAATGAAATTCAATTGTTTTTATATAATTATTATTCATTAATTTCATTTGATTAACTGTAAAAACGTTTTAGAATTAAAAATATATAATTGCCATAATTTTGATGGAAGTCATAATTCTGATACTTACGTAGATATTTAGTTGTAGAACCATATTCTAACCAAATATTCCAGTATTAATTTATACATACTTAATGCATTCCAATTAATGTCTTAAGCATAACTAAACAGCTTCATAATATATAATTTAAAATATATTTATAGGTATATTTATTTAAACAAACGTGTAAGAAAAAAAATGCATATTAGGCTAGGAGATTATAACTCTTATACAAAATGTTTTACAAGATGTTTTGAATTCGAATTACATTTGATCCTATATTTGAGCCCTAAAAATGTTGTATTGGACTTTGTTATATAATTTAATAATAATTATTCCACACAAATAATTTATAAAAGAAAGGAGTCTATTAATAATTAAGTAAACCTGAGCCTTTTGCTCACTAATGCAATATAGAAGAATAATACATTCATGTCTCATATTTGATGTATGAAATTTTTATTATGTATATATTTTTTATAATATTCACAATGTAATTTAATATAGCTTGGTGTCGAATTATATTTTAGCTTCGATTATGTAGCCGCTTTTACAAAATTTATCAATTAGAAGAATTAAAATGGAATTTTCAATATTTCATATTTTAATAATAGTAAAAGGATCAAAATTTTTAGTACTTAAATTAAAAAATTAAAAATTGGTAAAATTATTCGAATGATAAACTGAAGATGTATTTTTTGTTTCGGTCTACAGTTTTGATTGTATTAACTTAAAAAATTTGGTTAATTTTGTTCGTAAGCATGTTACTTCAAATTTCGTTGGTAATTTTGTTCGTAAGGTACTCTGTATGTCCCAAAAATTTTCTTTCATAATATAAATAAAAATATGCAATTTTTAATTCTAAAATTTTTTTTATTTTTTAAATTATTATTCATAAAATAAAGAAATTTTGAGAACAAAATTCAATTGTACTGAAATTGTAAAGGATTCCTATAACATAAATTTTATATCTGTTATAAACAATACTACAAAACGGCTTTGTATAACATTAAAAATATAAATATATAGAATATTATAATTCAGTTTTTATGCATTATATATATACATACGAGTACATAGTTCTGTGCCTGAATTATTTAATAATATTCATTTTATATAAATATTTTACATAGCTATCACATGTCCTTTTAAAATCGCGAAAACGACCGTGCATAATATCTTCTTCTTCTTCTTCTTAGTTCACTGTTATAAATTATAATGTATCACATGTTTACTAGGTCTTTATTATGATTTTTGTTATTATTTTTCAAATGCATTTTAAGTTTTTTTTAAAATAAAATTTAATTAAAATTTTTTTTTTTACATTTTTAATTTCATACTTACGTGGTTTTGTTTTTTTATTTTTTTTTATATAATATGGATACATACATATATGTATATATATATATTATGTATAAGGTACATATAAATATAACATTAACAAAATATATATATATTTTTTTTGTGATTGTTGTTTTTATTTTTCTTGTTTTGTTTCAGTTTTTCATCATTAATGTTTTTCGTCGAATTTTTAATTTTTTTTTTTTTTAATTTTTTTGTTTTTAATTTTTTAATTATTTTTTGTTTATTTTTTCACCTTTAAAAAAAAATTAATTTTTGTTTATTTTTTTTTTTTTTATTTTATTTTTCATTATAACCCTGTGGAGATGGAACAATATACTTATTTATTCAAATTATATACACATACATATATTATCATTAAATTAAAACAATTAATTTATGACAAATTGATAATAATTTTTAATTTATTATAAAAAAAAATAAATATATATACTTAGTATGAATTTTATTTTTCTGCACGTTTAGAAAAATTAACTTGAATAAAAGTATTGTGTTGTCCTTTTTTTGTAATAATTTTGTAAGAATCTAGTATGTATTAGGGCTACTGAATTATCCTTGAATGTAAAAATAGAATATACATCGATGGTAGGAGATTCCAATTTAAAAGAATTTTATTTTTATAAGTACATATATTAATATACAAAATTTAATAAAATTAATTTTGTAAAACAATTAATTATCTAGTATACTCGTAAAAGTTATTAATTATATTAATAGCATTTAGTGATGGTAAATAATTAATAATATTATAATTAATAATGTAATTGAAAATATTTATTCTTTTGAATATCTACGATAAAGTGAACTAAATAATTAGATTAGGGTTTTGGTATTGTAGCCTTTAGTATATATATACATATGTTTTTAAGTCAGAATAATAAATATTTATAGAATATATGTATATTTTTCTATTTATCATACTTAATGTGTATGACTGACTTGAAACGTATATGATAGAGATAGTATTAAAAAATATTAAAAAGTTAATTATTGTGAATTTTTAAGATAATTAGGTTAATAAAAATTCGTCGTTAATAAATTAATATTAAATTAAATATTAAATTGAAAATATATTGCAAAATATAGACCTTCATTGTATTATTAATAAATTGTGTTACTTAAGTTTCAATAAATTTGAAACAATTTCGGTTTGACGAAAAGTTTGCCAAAAATTTTATTGGTTTTGGCAGAGTTTTTATTTTTGATTTTATAATTTCTTTGTGTAAAATATACGAAATTTCAGGTGTTCGTTATATAGAGACTCTAATGAATAAATTTTTCTTAGTTCATCGTAGTAATAAATCAAAAACTAATTCCACTGGGTATACACATAGTTCACAAATGATTCGTATTAGTAAAGTTCGGAACCTTATTTGATTTCGATAAACGATTGGAAATGTGATTTGTGTATAACTGCTATACCAAGTAATTTAACGATATTTTAGAATCAAACGTGCAGATAAGTTAAAACTGACCGTTGTTATTAAAATTAGTTCATAGTTGCCATATAACTTTAAAAATATTTTTTTCAAATATTGCACAAAGAATTCAGTTTGAAATTCTAAAATTTTACACTAAAAAAAAAAACATATTTAAATCTACCAATTCTTGTTTTTCAAGAAACACAAAAAAAAAAATCAAAAAGAAAATCAATTGTGAAAGTAACACAAAAGTATAAATTTTGTATATAGCTAGTACCTACTAAATTAACAATAAATGATGTGCATGAATAACTTACTAGGATATTTAAAAAAATATATATATGTATTTTCAGATTTATTTAAATGTTGCAAAATACTATACCAGAAAAATAAATAAAAAAAAAAAACAAAACTTAAAGAATTATATCACGTCCTTAAAAATTCCTTTTAGGTCAAATTTCTTTATTGCGTAATTTGTAATTGTTACATACATTTGCTTGTAACATAAATATTATCTTACTGTTTTATTATTTTCGGCAAAAAAAATATATAGGTCAAAGTACTTTTTTTTGTAAAAAAAAAAGAAAATTTAAAATCATAATTAAATTTATGACGCCCTATGATTTTGCGTTTAACAAAATATTTATTATGAATTATAATTTATATTGTACTTAAGTATTACAATTCAAAAAATTATTATACTTTTTACCTTGAAGAAAGCACATTGTATGTAAAAATATTTCCTCATTACTTATATAGTTTAGTGCTTTCAGTTGTCCTCTTTTATGTTTTATAAATATAGAGGAAGAATATGCATTTTTTTCTTTTCGAAATTATTAAAAGAATAACAATTATTTTAGCCATCTTCTTGAATAAATAAGAAGAAATAAACAAAATTTGATAAACCCAAATTTTCAATTACATATTTTTTTAATTTATTCATTTTTGTATTTTATTAGAAAATGTTTCATACATAGTAAAAATTAATAGGTTTTCTAGCTTATATTTACCGTTTATAAGCCATAGATGTGCTTGTTGCAAAATATTTTGAATATTGACATTTATCGCTAGTATTTGACTCACCCTGATATCGTAAATGTTTTATAGAAAACGTCTCGAATACAAAATCTGTGGATAAAAAATCTCATGCAATTTTTCAATTCAAGTTATGAAGTTTACGTTTTGTAGATATCAAGACACATTTACAAAACGTTTTAACTTAAATTATGTGATATTATTAAAACTGTTTTGGTTTGCAACTTCGATCATGTGAAATTGCTAGTTTTATAATATATTTGTGTCGTTATTAGGACATCTTTTGTATAAACCGAAATTTTTTAATTAAATTTTCAATTTTTAAGTTTAAAGTTTATTTTTGATAAAAAAAAATTTTCTATTCAAATTTTAATTAATATTAAAATTCAAGTGTTAAAAGCGTTTTAAACTAAAAGTTTTAAACTAAAATCATTTTTATTTTAAATTGATCAGCAATAAGTACAATTTTGAATTTTATTAAAAATTTTAAATATAGTCAAATATTCTAAATAAATTTTTAATTTAAACAATGCAGAAATATATAAAAATAAAATTTTTTATTTATTTATTTTAATATTTATTTAAAGGATACGAATTTTTTGCATAGAATTATAAAATAAAAATTTAAATAATAAAAAAAAAATCAATATTTTAGTACAATACAAAAAAAGTTTGGCAATATATTTTGAATTTAGTTCATTTATAATTTGTTTATACTAGTTTATTTTTATAAATTATACATATAACATGTGTAGTACATTATATGCCAATGAAAACAGATTTATAAATTTTATAAAATAAGAGAATTTTAAAAAGGATTATATAGAATAACATTTAAATATATTTAAAATGCATTATAGCTCATTGAAATATTTTTATACAAATAAAAGGAGTTCATATTAATTTATATAACAGATATTTGGAACTTATATACATATATAGATAATACAAGACATATTAAAATATAATTAAAATATCTTATAAAAATATAAAAGTCAACCATGTTTTTTATATATTTATATATATAAATTTTAGAAAACAATTAATGGAATGGTGATTGGGGGATGTGTCCGGTGAATATTAATTTTTTTTTTTTTTTTTTGGAATGGAATGAGATTTTCCTATATATACATATATATTTAATTAAAAATAACCTTGGTTTTATTTTTATTTTAATATTTACATATCATTTTATATAAATATTATAAAATATATATTTACATTTTATTAATTAAATATTCATATACAATATAATAAAATATATTATGGTATTTTGTTTCTACATATATATATATATATCTTAATTCGACAAGTTAATGAATGCTTGTAACAATGTGATCACTTGTTTAAAAAAAAAATGAAAGTACATTAAAAAAAAAAAAACATTTATAACAGTTTGTTCATAAGTGTGGGGATTTTGGTGCTTTGGTTTTTTTATTTTTCTACTATATAAAAATTTTTTATTAATATATAATTTATATAATTTTAAAAATAAATTTTTTAAATTAATAAAATAAGTATAAATATTTTTATTAATAATATTATATCATTTATAAATTTTTACAGCTCAAAGTCATGACATGGATCCAAGCATAGATTTGCTGCAAGAGTTAAATTTATATAAAAATCATTCTAGTTATCCTGGTGTTTCGTTAACATGTAAGGGCTATCATAATAGTAGCATCGCTTTTCGTTTAGAAAATAATAGTAAGTTAAATTTAATTAATTATTTAAGAATTTTTAACGTTCTTACAGAAAATCTATTATTATACTAGCAAAAAAATATATACTTGAGTCTCTATATCTCAGACTATTATTTCTTAGTGTTAAAAACGGTAAAGCAAATTTAGTATACATTTCGAAAATACGTTCGAACATAATAATAACAAAAAATCTAGTTTTTTTTTTTTTTTAATTTCCGGAATATAATTGTATTTTAACTCAAAAACCAATATAATTTGACTATTATATTACTATTCTAATTTATTGGTTTAAAAAATTTATCAGATTTAATTAAATTTTGAATTGAACCTTTGCATTTTATTATTCAATAACTTTGCTGTGATCGTAAATTATTAAATAATTCTATATAAAAGTAGAATCTAAAAACATAAGTATATAGATTAGCCATAGATTTCGCAGTTAACCATATTAAAATTCCACTGTTTCTTATGAATTTTTGAATTTCCAAAGTTATATACTATCTTCATATTATACAAAATACTAATATTTTTTCGGCAAAAATTTACTTGATTGGATAAACTTCCTCTGATTTTTAATATAAAATATTTTTTGTTTTGAAATTTCAGTCATAAATTAGAAAAAAAAAAATATTTAAAAACTAAATTTTTTTTTATTATCGTTCTTATAATAGTTTTTTTTTGTTTTAATATAAAATTATTTTTTATTTTTATTTTCTAGATAGTAGAAGAATGTTAATGGTTCCACAAACAAGTTTGAACCGAATAACAAATTTATTAAGAAAATCATCAGAATTTACTTTTACGGCAATTATTAAACAAGATAAAAGCAATATAGGATCAATTATTGCATTTTCATATGGAAAGTTTAGGTAAATATATTTTTAAAATATTATAATACGATATGAATATTGTATTTTTTAAAAATAATTTACAGGTATATGGAATTAGAATCAAGTGGTAATCGTGATGAAATACGTTTTCACTTTTCATATATAACAGAAAGTGGTCAATTAAATGTTCAAACAGAAACTTTTTCACGTAAATTAGCTGATGGTAAGTGGCATAAAATTGCACTTGCTGTAAGTGGTCCCGAAATACAACTAATAATTGACTGCCATCCCCTATATAAAAGAGTGAATAATTTTATACCTGATAGGAATTTCAGTGCTTCCAATTTGCAATTATTCGTTGGTCAGAGGAATTCAGAAAGTCATAGTACTTTTATGGTAAAATTAATAATTCTTTTAATTTTCAATTTAAAATTAACTTTAAAAAAAAAAAAAAATTAATGTAAAAAGAAATCAAAAACAAAAACGAAAAAAAAAACCTATATATTGTAAATTATTTTAGGGCTGCATTCAAAATGCAAATATAATTGTTAAACCCTATGGGTATGTAACACAGTGTCCCCATATGCATGAACAGTGTCCTTCATGTGCACAATTTAATCTCCTACAACGTACTATAGAAGAATTAGAAAATAAATTGATCAAACTTTCACAAAGGGTATTTATTTTATTTATTATTTTTTTTTTAATTTTATTTTTTTTTTAATTTTATTTTTGGAATTCAAATTAAAAATTCATTTAACTTTTTATAATTTTTTTTTAATTTTATTTACAATATTACTGTTCTTTTGATTTTCCTTTTGATAATTTTCCAAAATTCTATGGTTTTAATCTTATTGCTATAAATTATTTGTTTATATTAAATAGTTGGCAAATGAAATACTTTAATATTATTTTTTTTTTCTTGTTTTGTTTTTTCTTTCACATTTTTTTTTTTTTAAATGAATTGTAGCTGCATGCTGCAGAAACTCAAATATCTCGACTTCAAGAATGTGAATGTAAGATATCTTGTAATATAAATGGAACAATTAGAGAAGATGGAATGACATGGAATAATGGTTGCGATGTGTGTAAATGTGAGCAAGGCATGGTAATATGTGATAAACAGAAATGTGAGCCAACTCCTTGTAGTTATCCAGTATTAGAAGAAGGATCATGTTGCAAAAAATGTCTAAGTAATTCTATTTTGTTAATTTTAATTAATTTTTATTATATTTACAAATTTCTTTTTTTTTTAGAAAATTGTTATTTAAAAGGACGATATTTTGAACATAACGAATACTATATTGAAGGATGCCGTAATTGCACGTGCAGTGATGGATTTATGGCCTGTGCTGTAATTGATTGTCCTGAGGTTAATTGTTTATCTAAAGGTTTAATAGAAGCTAAAAGCGAATGTTGTAAAGTTTGTAAAGGTAAATTAAATAAAATACTTATTTTTTTTTTATATTTTAGCTTGAAGTTATTTTTGCCTTAAAGTTGTATAAAATTTCTTTTTGCTCAATTTGTAATGTAGATTCTTACATATAGATTTAGTTTTCATTTTTGCTTTGAATTAAATTTTATGTTAGAACTTATTTTAGTATTAAGTGTTTTTGCATTCAAAACTCGTTTCTACTGAAAACACAAAATGTTCTTTTTTGGTTTTGCAAATGTTTTCTGTATATTCTTTTTGTATTGTTTTGGTTTTTATTGAATTTTTTATTGAAAAACTCACACTAAAATACATTTTTTATATAAAAATTTCTATTTTCATGTCTCTTTCTATCTTCTCCTAACGGATTAATTACTAACAATTAATTTAAAACTATTTTATGTAAAAATTTCCGAATAAACTTACTAAAAAAAACAAAAAAAAAATGCAAAATGCTTTTGCTAATAAAAGGCGACGATTTTTGTTCAAAAGGACATGCATGTCATGCCAATGCTACGTGTGTTAATTTATATACAAAATATACATGTATATGTCACCAGGGTTTTGAAGGAAATGGGTTCCAGTGTTCGGGTAAGGTTTAACATTTATTTTCCGGTTTTGATTTTTAATTATTTTTTATTTTTAGTTTGCCGAGTAATTTTTATTTTTTATGAATTCGATGATTCACATCGAAAAACTTTATTGAAATTTGAATCACTTAATATTTGCTTATTTAATTTCATTCTTTCTTTTTTTAATGCTATAAATTCCGATAAAAGTTTTACAGAGCTATGTATTTTGTTTAATTGCTATTTTTATTACCTAAAATTTTCTGCATTTTAAATTTTTTTGTTTCAGATATTTTGTAAATATCGATTTTTACATTCCAGTTTTAAAAATACCAATAATAGATGTCGAGTCGGATATTACAAAAAAATTTTTTTTTTTTGACAAGTAATCTAAAATTAAAGAAATTGTAATAAAAATTGGAAATTAGCTTAAAATTAACAATTTTTTTTCGGTTAAAATAAATGACTATCTAGCTATTATTCAAAACTAATTAAAAAATGATAAATATTGTTTCAAACTTAAAAACACTGCAAACTAAAAAACTCAATTGAATTCAAAGTTCGAATAATTTAATGATAACAACTAAAACAGAAATATGTATGTCGAATAATAATTTTAAAATTAGTAAATGTTTATGTCCATAATTTCATTATGTATATAACCGGTTTTTGGGTATTTATTATCTAAGTCTTTCTATATTCCTTCAAGATTTTATTATTTTAATTATTGAAGTAGTAAAATTGATGATTTTCATTTTATTTAATTTACAGATATCGATGAATGTGCCGAAAAAGGTGGCCTTAATGGTAATCACTGCCATTCCAATACATATTGCGTTAATACTCAAGGATCATATAAATGTGAATGTTTACCTGGTTTTACAAGAGAAACATCACTTACTTGTGTTGAAATCAACGAATGTTTATCAAATTTACATAATTGTCATGAGAATGCCAATTGCATTAATACACAAGGTTCATATAAATGTGAATGTAAACCAGGTTATATTGGTGATGGATATCATTGTGAACGTATGTTCTTCATTAAAATTTTAAATTGATTATATACAAATATATAAATTAGATTTTTTTAGCTGTATGCAATCAGACATGCTTACATGGTGGTCAATGTTACAAACCAAACGAATGCTCTTGTTGGTTAGGTTTTATTGGTGAATCATGTGAGCAGGATTTAGATGAATGTGATACGGGTCAACATAGTTGTAAAAATTCGTCAGAATGTGTCAATATGCCGGGTTGGTACTTTTGTAAATGTAAACCTGGTTATCATTCATTAGGGCCTGAATGTATTGATATTGATGAATGTTTAACTGACAAAAGTACATGTCATCCAACAGCTAAATGCATTAATACTGATGGTCATTACAGATGTGAATGTCCATTAGGCTTAGAAAACAATGAATGCAAATTAAGTAAATATTATTTGTTTAATAAAAATATTTTACTTTTATTAATTTTTTTTGATGCAATAACTTGTAAATAGTTCCACTGTCGAATGAAAATTATTTATTAAATATTGTTAAAAATATTTTTATTTCTTTCATGTTTTAGGTTGTATATTCGAAGATACTGAAATTGAAAATGGTGCTAGTGTGTTTCCTAGAAATGATCCTTGTACAAATTGCACTTGCGACAATGGAGTTATTACATGTGAAGAAATTAAATGTAATTGCTCTGCTTGGGAATCAACTCCTGAGAAAACATTGTGTTGTCCCCAGTGCAGTACAAACGCGACTTGTCAACATCAGGAATTGAAAAATGTGGTTTTCAGAAGTGGCGAAAAATGGATCTATCAATGTCAAACTTGTGAATGTTTGGTAAGTAAAAAATAAAAGTTATACTCGTATGTACCAAAAAAATACTTTTATTATTAAATTAAAACTAATGTATAAAAATGACGTTCAACACTTCAGGAATTATTATTTAATATTACGAGTATAATATGTACTTGTACAAATTCTTAAATTAAATTAATCATAATATTTTATATTTTTCTTTTAAGTTCGGTGAATTTGATTGTTGGCAACTTGAATGTCCCCCTTTGTCCTGTGACAATCCCCTGCCGTTGAAACAAGGTGATTGCTGCCAGCGATGCCCCGATGATCCTTGTAATAACTTAAAGCAAACGAGTAACATCACATCGAATTTGTGCACGTATAAAGGACATCAATTTCCTTCTGGACACATATTTAATGATCCGTCCACCCAGTGCACTACGTGTGACTGTAAAGTAAGTAGCAGTATTAAAATGAAATTTAGACTAAGGATTATTTAATTGTGAAAAATAACTTAATATGTTAATTCTGTATATAATAAGCAAAAAAAAAAAATAATTAAAAATATGCGTACATATTTTTTAATATAAATCTAAAGCAAAACGTGTTAGATTAGTTAATATTAAAAAGAGCGTATTATTATGATTTTTTAGCATAAGTTTATTATTTTGCATTATTACAATTCGAATTCTATAAATATAATAGTCTTATTTCTAATATAATTATAATATACATTTAAAGCTTATATTATAATTGTAGAAAATTAATGGAAATCATGTTTTTCAAAAATTTAAGTAAATAATAATATTTTTTTTTTATTTATAACAACTATTTTAAAATGCTACGTTAAAATATACATTTGAAACATATTAACTATTATGTAACCATCAACATAATTAAAGAAAATGTTTCAATACTTGATTGAGAATTAAAATTTCTATCGAAAGTGTACTAGAAATATTTTGATTAGGAAACTTGCTTAGAATTAGAAGTTAAAAATTAAATAAATTTTAAAGATTTTAAATTGAAAATTTTTATATATAATTTAATTAATATAGGTAGAGTATAACAAGAAAATCTAAATAATTATATAAAATTTTAAATTATGGTCTTCATATTTATTTTTAATGGGATATTTTTAAGAAATAATTTTATTAGGTTTTAAAATTTTTATAGTCTCTAATACATATAATCTTTGTTCCGTTCAGTTAATAATTAATAGCATTTATGTTATCTCATTTTATTAATCTTTTGCTTATCCAATCTTTTGTTTTAAAGAACAAGAAAAGGGATGGACAATTTTGTATAAAGTTAAAAAAATATTTCATTTTATTTTATCTTTTTTAAAAATAAACTTGATTCGTCGTATTATAGGTTATGTAGTTTTGAATAGAGGCCTTGTCCCAATTCATATATTTTTTATCACATATTCGTATTCAATTTATTGAAATTTTACAACAAAATTCAAACATTTTTATTAAAACATATATTTGGACAAAAATTGTGAGATATTTACTTTGCTTACTGAAATAAAGTAAATATTTAAATTACATAAATAATATTATAGTTTTGCTTCTTGTAAAATTATAAGAACATCTAGGTTCATAATTTCTTTAATTAATTATATGAAAGTTTAAATTTGAATTTTAGAATATTGGTTAAAAATTTGAAATAATCATTAAATAATAAATCTTTAGGGGGAATTAAAAAGGTTTTTTAGATGTCAGGGAAAATTTTCAAATATTTTAATTAAATTTGTTTTTCTTTTCCCGTTTTTTTTTTTTTTTGCATAATAAAAATACAACTTTCATTTCATTCAAATACTTTTAGTGTTATTGCTACTAAAAAGAAATTTTAAATAAAAAAATTTAATTTAAAATTGTTTTTTTTTTTTTTTTTTTAAATTCGTAGTTGCTGCATTCTCGAAATATAGTTATAATAATATAAAAAATGCGAAGAGAAATTATTCTCTTAAAATTTGTTGAAATATATACATTAGATCAGACAAAGCTTAAGATAGTGTATATAAATAGTAATTCTGTTTAATATTTATTTTAATTGTATCGCTAATTTTTATTTAATGCTATGTAATATGTAATCGTTTCTTTAAAAAAAAAAAAACAAACATTCAAATACATACATTTAAAACAATTTTTTTCAATTGAAAACGAAAGCTTGATTATATTGATCCATCTGCATTTGAAAAAAGTGCATGAGTAAATAAAAGATTCGATATCCTTCATTTCAAAAATAACAATAAATCCTTGCATGGAAAAATCTCTTTACTTTTCAATGATACCTTAATAATGTTGTATCTTCTGAATTATTTTTTTTTTTCTTTATTAAATATAAGTATAATTAGTTAAAGGACGATCGATGGTCGAATTCATTTAATGAAAAAAAGAAATATTGATTTGAAAACTAATCTAAAAACATAATTTTTTTTTTTATAATATTTTATTCTTTCTGTAAATTTTAATTTTTTTAATTGATTTATTTGTTTTTTTTTTCTTCTTTGGTTTTCATTCGAAAACAAATTTCTGCTTTTTCGTTAAATGTTTTTATAAGATTTTTATCCTAGCATTTTGTTGTATGATGCTGCTATATTCAAGGAATATTTGCAAAAATTTTTATATTAAGATCAAGTAAATTTAATTTTAAAAAAAATAAAATAAATAAATGATTCGTTATAAGTTTAATTTTGAAAAAATAATAAAAAAAATGTTTTTTTTTTTTGTATATAATTGTTCTGCATAAAATCCAAATGTCTTACGTCATAAAAATTTCCAAACCTTTTTTTATTTAAATATAAATTAAGAAATGAATTGATTTTTAAATCTCTAATTAACTTTTTGATAAATTCTGAAAAACAAATTGATTTTTTCTTATTAAATTTTCAAATTTTCAAATAAAAATTTATAATTTTATACAATTCATACTTTAAGTGATTTACTATAAAGGGGATCTAATTATTATCCTACAACCGTAAATCAATATAAATGAGGAATGGAAAAATATTTAAAATCAATGGAATATCAAATAATTATTAATTTGCAGAAATTTATTTTTATCTATATTCTCTTAACCTTTTTATCTACTTTTAGAAATTTCCTGCATTAAATTTTTTTAAAGTGACTTTATTTTATTCAATAATATTATTATTCAATAATAAAATATATTTATATTTTGAAAAATAATTCTCAATTCTGTGAATTTGGAAAAATTAAAAGAAAAAATACAATACATGGTGTATTTAAGAAACAATATCAAAACTTTTTTTTTTATTTACTTTGAAAAAATAAAATTCACAATCTTAATAATTATCAAATTTTAATAAACAAAATATATACATAGAAAATTTTTTTGATAAATAAAATTATTTTTTTTTTATAATAATTCTATATAAAAATATTAAAAAAAAAAAAAAAAAAAAAAAAATGCATAAATGTAAAATCCAATATGTGAATTTTCAGGTTCCACATTGTGCCCAACTGGTGAGCAATTCTTCGTTTTGTGTACATCGGTAAAACTTACACTTTTAATACACACATTTTAATTTTTTTGTTTTACAATTAAAAAATATAAATGCTTTAGCGCAGAATTGTGCTTATTTTCGAATTAGTTTTTCCTTTATTTATTTTTAATTAATTTATATATGAATTATATACATTAATTTATTGTTTTTTGTTTATATATATATATAAATATCATCCGATATCGTATGTTTTTTTTGTACACCTTGTATTATTTTATGATTTTTAGTGTTTTTTTTTTTTTATATTATTCATTATTTAATTTTTGTTCTTCATTTTATCACAACAAAAAAATAATTATTGTTTCTGTTGCATAATTATATTATATGTATACAAAAATATTATATTTAAATATAATATTTAAATTTATATAAATTTATTATTATATTTACTACATTTAATTTTGTATAGATATATATATATATAATATATTTGTTATTTTTGTGATATATATATATATTTTATACTATAATAATATTCAATTACTATGTTGTCTTATAAGAAAGAAATTCAAAAAGATTTTTTTTCAATTAAATTTAATTAATTTAAGTGTTATATTTATGTATTTTATTTATTCGTAAAATGCATTTAATATTTTTATGTTTATTTCTATTGGTTTTTATTTTTTCAATTTAAATCGTAAAAGATAATTGCCGAAAAAAATGAAGTTTTCTTAAGTTGTAGAAAAAAAAATTTCTATTTTAGAAATTATTTTCAATATTTCTAATTCCTTTTGTAATAATTAAAAATAAAAATATTATATAATATATACAATTTAATTATATAAATAATTCTTTGATAAATATATTTTTTTAAGAGGGGGAAATGTAAGTAGTTAATATTGTTGATAAAAAAAAAAAAACAAAACAAAAAATGAATTTTAGTAACTCTATTCTGTTTGCTGTTTTTTTTTTTTTGAAATTTTCAAAATTAAAGAAACAAAAATTCCAATTATAATCATATTAAATTCGGAAATTTTTCAATTTTTTTAATTAAATTTTCATTACATTCCATATATATATATATATATATATATTAGATAGGTTTTTAAATATATATTTTATTTTCATACCTTTTCCTATATTAAAGTAGAATTCTATTAATATTAATTTTTTTTCTTTTTAATTATATTTTTTTTGGGGTAGGGAGGAAATTATTTAATATTCGTCTTTTTGTAGAGTTTAGTAATCAAACCAATCATATTTAAAATGCAAAATAATAATATCAAATGTTTTAGTAAATAAAAAATATTCTTTTGTTTTATTTTGAATTTTTTTTTAGAATAAAAAATTCGAAAAACAAAAAAAAATTCATAATTTTTAAAAGTTCCTTTCCTTCTTTATCGTTTTATTATACTAACTAAATTTTTATTTAAATAATGTATTTAAATGTTTACAAATTTAAATTGTTCTTAAAAATTACTATATTTACTTTTTAAAAATAATTTAAAATTATAAAATTTCTTTTTAAATACAAAAAATTCTAAAAAATAATTAATTCATTATTAAAATATTAAAAAAGTTTTATAAAAAAAAATGTAATTAAAAAATTAAATATATAAAATTATAAAATAAAAAAATTTACAAAAATTTCTTTGAAATATAATAATTTAAAAGAAGAAATATTTCTTATATTTCGTTAATTTTCTATTAATTATTATGATCCTATTTACATTAAATTATTACACCATGATTACTTCAAAAAGAAATTATTTATTTTGTTTTTTTATTATATTAAATATGAAAAAATTTTTAGAAATTTATAATTTTAAAAGTTGGATACAGTAAAATAGGTACAAATTAATTTTAAAATTGAAATTTTTGTTTTTTTTTTTTTTATATACACTGTACAAATTGAAAATAGAATATTGTTTTTTACTTTAAAAATTTGAACAAAGATATAACACTTTTTTTTTCAATATTTGCATATTAAAAATTGTAAACTATTAAAATTGTAATATTCAATTATTATAAATCATAAATACAATTTAAAAAACTTTTTATATTTCATACTGTATCATATTTGATATGCACAATTCTATTCATATAATTTATTCTATAATATTCTCAAAAATTATAATGTAAATTAAAAACATTAAAATTTTATTTGAATACTCTTTAAGTACAAAATAATAGATAAGAATAAATTTGTAAACATTGTCATATATTTCGTAGATTATTGGACTTATTGATATAATTAATAAATTTTCAATAATTTAGTAATTCAAAATTTTTAAAAGTTATAACTATACTCGTATGAGTAAGTTTTATATCTTGTATATTTTAAAGCAATGTATTAAATACTCTAATTAAAGTAGTAATACTTAAGTATTATTTACATATGTAGCTAAATGGCTTTTTTTTTTGTAAATTACTTGAAAAATTTACAAAATTCTGTTTTACAATAACCCTTTTTTTTAATGATGACAGCTTTTAAATTCATAAATTTCTCTCGTATAGATCCTTTCTTGATTATTTTAAAATATAAAATATTAAAATAATTTTTGATAAAAAAAAATAAGATTTATTTTACTTAAATAATTTATTATATGTTTTGTCATTAATAAATTTATTATACATAATAATATATTTTCACAAAAGTAACAGTATAAATTGACTCATTCAGGATTATAAATTATTAATATTAAAGTCAATCAATATAAGAGTTATGTTCTTTTTTATGTGGAGTTAAAATACCTTCTTCTTTAGACCCCGCAACTAATTTTTAATTTTCTTTTTGTTGTAAAAATAAAAATCCATTTTTTCTTTACACAATTAAAAAAAATAAATTAAACTTTACAATGTAAAATCAAACACTTTTTCAACGTAACGAAACAAGAAGAAGTCCTGAACTTGTCAATAAAATTTAAATAAAATTGAAATTAAATTTTAATTCTGATAAATTGCTTTTAAAAATTATTTAATTTTTCATAATTTCTTCGTCATTTCAGCTTCTTTTATATTATTATTATATAATTTTGTATTATTTTATGTACACACTAGATTTTGCTATTTAAATGAAATTATATAAATAATATTATTTTTCTTTAAATTTTTCAACATTAGAAACATAAAATCACACAAAAAGTATTAAACTATTTTTTTTAAGATCACAAAATATTCATAACTCTCTATTTATCTTTTTTCAAAACAAAATATTTTAAGCTTTTGGCAAATTGTAGTAAAAATTAAAACGAATTTAAAAAAATTATATTACAAAAAAAAAAAAAAAAATTAACATATATTTTTTCTCTTTTCTTTGTAGTAAAAATCCTATATAATTTAATATTTAAAAAATTTGACAAAACTATTGAAAAAAATTTATAAATGAAAATGGAGTATAAACCTTCTTTTTAGTTCCCTTTTAAATAATATAGCACAAAAATTTAATACAAAAATATTTTGAATAAATTTTAATGCCTAAAATTACACAAAAACAAAACAAAATTTTAAAATTAATTTACACATTTATTTTATTAGTTTAGTTTATTAATCTAGTTTCTTTTTATAATTCGAATTTTAATAAAAAAAAATTTATTGTAATTATTTTTTTATTTATTTATTTACACATTTTTGATAGTCTGTTTTGTTACAATTAATTTCAATTGGTTTTTAGCTATTTTTAAAAATAATTCAAATTGCTTTATTTTAAATTTATATCAAATTAAGTTTAATTTTATGTGAAAAGATATGAAAATTTTTATAAATTTTTTCATAAATTTTTAATAAATTATTTATTAATTTCTTAATGTTAGATATAAGCGAAAAATTAGAATTATAATTACTGATACATAGATCTAATTTCACTATTCTTAGAATATTATTATATAATTAATTTAATTGTTTAATAAAATATTTAATATGAAATTTATATTTTTAAGACTTTAGTCTTAAAATAGCATCATTAATGTATTATTCATATTAAATTTTCTTACCCATCTCTTTACTACATTACATTTTCTGAATTCATATAGTTTGCAAATAGAAAAAAAAATATAAAATCATAGAGTGTTTCCTTAATTCTAAATTGGTATTCGATTGAATATCGAAAAAACGAAATAATGAAATTTTTATATTGTTTTTAAGATATTTTTAATAATGTTATGTAATCAGTTCGAATTCGAATTATAATTAAAATAGAACATAAAAATAGTTTAACAACATTGTAGTTTTTTAAGATTATACCTTTATGAATTTGTCAGAAAATCAGTTCTGACACAATTAATATTCTTGTATCGAACAATTATATTTAAAGTATATGAGTATAGCATGGAAATAGTTGATATTATAAATTGTTTATATAAAAATTTTAAAAAAGAAATTACAATTTCAGAATCGTATATATCGTTTCATATAGAACATAACTTAAATAAGATGTTATAGCAAAATTACTCCTTATAACAAATTATTAAAATTAGCAATTCAACTATAAAATTCTTTAAGAACAAATAATTATGTTTTTGAGGTTTGAAAAATTTGAAAGATAGCACATTTCTTTTTCAATGTTATAAGAAAAAAGGACAATACGTAGATGTTTTGTACCCAGAACCCGAAAAATAAACACTAAGCACACAATCCAAACATTATTATTTAACAGTTTATATTGTATTATTCGAATAAATAAGAAAAAAATTAACACAATAAACTCTAAGTTCTTGAAACATTTTCATTTCATTATTCAAAAAATTATATAAATTCATTTTTTATTGCATAATCATAAGTAAATAATTTTCGTTGTTTTTTTCTTTTTTCCAAATATTCAATAATTTTTAAATTTATGAAAATATTCTCAAAAAAGAAATTCCAGATAAAAGTAATCTTGGTGAAATAAATTTTTTGTGTAAATTATTAATTTTAAATTTTTTTTTTTACAATTATTACATAAATAAATAATTAAATAAATACCATGATTAATAAAATATTCAATAATATAATATTGTCAGATTTCTTTACATCATTTAAATTTCGTAAAATTTTTCTTCTTTAATTACTAGAAGACTAGAGAATGTGGAAGTATTAATCAATTTTTTAAATAAAATGCAAAAGTCAAAGAAATTTATTAATATACAATATAAATTAATTGATAAAAAGTTTATGTTATGGAAAATAAAAGTTGAAATAAAAAAATTTTAAAAAAAGGTTAATGATTTTTAGAAAAAAAAAACAAAAATAATTAAAAACTTATTAAAAGTTTTTTTTGTTAATAATTATATATTTATTTGTTACCGCAGCCATTACGTACCGAGTACACAATAATATTTATATATTAAATACAACCGACTGTACACATGTCACTTCCAAAATCACACAAATTCAAACTAAAGTCATACAAATACATTTTTTTAAATCTCTTCTCAATAGTTTTTATGAAAATTTTTTGTAACATACCATACTGTACATTATGTGTTGTTTTTTTATGTTATTCATTAAAAAAAATTTAATTCTCTATCAGCGGAGAGTTAATTCTGAGCCGAAACACTTTAAATATGTGTTTACAATTTAAACGTACGTAATGGGGCGGATATGATTGCAATTTAATCAAATGATTTTCTATTAAAAATTAAAATGTTATATTATCTACAACTATTTTATTATGTCCGTGTATAAAAATATTATAATATGTGTGGTTTAAAAGTTGTTTTCCTTTTTCTACCTTCTGTTCTTTATTCTTTTATTTAATTTCCTTTTTTTTTTTCATTCTTACTTTAGCTCAATATTTATTTTCTGCCGTGAATGCACGCTTTAAGAATTTATTTTTTTAAAGCACGAATTATATTCTAGATATACAAATTGAAATTGAATAAAAAAAATAAAAAAAATAAAAATATATTTTTTGAAGTTATTATATTTTTTCTTAATGCACCAAAATCACACTTTATACAAAATATTTTATAATTAATTTCTTTTAAAAATTTACTTTTTCTAAAAATATTTTTCTATTATAACTAATATATAATCATTTTTTGTTTTTTTTTGTATCGTTTTCATTTTATCATCATACATTTTAGGACGGTGAACTCTATTGTAGCGTTAACAATTCTTGCACTAATCTGGATAATGAAATCATTGAATTACCCGCCCAAAATTCCAGTGTATCATCTACCCCCGCTAAAGATGTTTCTAACGATAATTCAACACAGGAAACATCAACATCAAAAGAGAAGTTAATTATTGAAACTTAAGGATTAATTAATTAATTAATAAAAAAAAAAATGAAAAACAAGTAAAAAAAAAAAATTAGGAAAACAAACAAATATAAAAACAATTGAAAACAAAATAATCAACTAACGAACTTTGGTTACTGTTAAAACTGTCGATAATCAATCATAAAATAATAATTAATAATTAAAAATAATAATAATAAAAAAAAAGAAAAATAAAAAAAAAATATGAAAAAATCATAGAAAACAAAAAATATTTACACCAAGCGTACTAAAACAAAATTTAAATAAAGAAAGCAAAGTTATAAATTACAAAATTGAATTCAAAAAAAAAAAAAGGAAAGAAAAAGGAAAAATTCAAGTGTCTACTATCTTTTTATGTCATAACATAATTATAATTGCGATTTAAGAATAGTTTTCCTACTTTCGTCAAAGCCAAAAATAAATCAGCCTAAAAAATTAATAGCTGGCAATGTTTAACCTAGACCTGGCAATGTTTAAAATTTATTATGCAAATGAAAAATTATAACCGTAAAATAATATTACAAAATTTAGCATAAATAAATGTGGCGGAAGTATGCGATTACAATAAATTGAAAACTCGCAATGCAACATGCAATCAAAAGAATTTCTTTTTCAATTATAAGATTGGTTAATGAATTTAAAATTTAAAATTTTTTGTATTTGAAAACATTTCGTGTTTATTTTACACTAATTTCTGTAATATTTTTTTTATAATTTTATGTTTTTTATTTATTTTGTTAGTAAAAACAAGATATTAATTATATTAATATCTGTTAATAATAATGTATGACATTGTTAAAACAATTTTGCCTCTAATTAAAATGTAATTCTTACACTAAGTTTTGACCTATTCAATAATATAATTTCAATTGCTGATTAAATTAGATTATAGATTATTTTCATTTAGTTGGAATACCTTTTATTTTTATAATTAAAAAAATAAATATTATTTTAAATAAATATTTATGGGTGCATTTAGAAATTATATTTTATAAATGATGTTAAAACATAATTTAAAATTTTATACTACACAAATTTTATTGTTTCATTTCTTATAAATTCATTCATTTATTTGCACCAAAAATAAAAATATTCAATTCAATAATTCTATCATTTTTAAATTTTATGAAAATGTTGATTTCAAAATTAAATTGTATATTGTTCATTTAACTAATTACATATTTTTTTTATTAAAAATCTGAAATTTTAGGCAAATGAATTTTTATAACAAAATTGTAATATTAAATTATTATGTTATGATTAAAAATAATAATGTATGACATAAATTAATTGTAGAAACTAATTATAGAAAAAAAAAATTTCTAATATAAAAATCAAAACACATAAAGATATAAAATAATAAAGATAGGAGTTTATTAAAGTAATTGAGAAGAAAAAAAGGAATCTTTAGTTTTTTTTTTTTAATTTAAAAAAAAATTTATGAATAAGTTGAATAAGTTATACATATTTATTTTGTGTTGATTATAAAAATATTTATGTGTATATATATTAAAATATATATACATATATTGATATACAATTATGTATACATGTAAAATATATTAGAATGTTTGTGTTTTGTAGATATTTAGATCTAGATCTAACCTATAATTATTATATATAATTTTATATCGAGATAAGTTTTTACTACAAAAACTCGTTTTAGTGGTTCAATATTTAAAAAATAATAACTAGTAATATAATTAAAGTATGTTGTAAAATACAAGTAAAAATAAAAACAAAAAAAAAACATCAAAATAATTTTAAAAATTGGAAAATAATAAAACAACAAAATTTAATATTTTAATTCGCAAAAATTATTAATTTTTTTTTTTTTATTTCTTGTTATTTATAATTATGTTTATTTTAAGATGTAATTTTCTTTTCTAATTTTGTATAATACATGTTTTTAATACATAAAATTAACAAAAAAAAATTTATACATTAAATAATGTACAATAATAAAATAAATATACACGCATCTTTTAAGCATAATATGTATATATTTAAATGAATAAGTATAAATATGTTTAATACATAATAATATAATAATAATTACTTATATATATATTTATATAATAATTGTATTTATAAAAAAAATAATAATTACTTTAAATATATATATATATATATATATATTAATATATAAATATTACTGAATATAGGAGAAATATGTGAAAAAAAATTCTTGGTAGTTATCGTTGGTAAACGTAATATTTACCTTCGAATTTTTTTCCAAAAAATTAAAAAAAAAAATGACTGGCAATTTACATTATAACAAAATAAAATTTATCGAAAATAGCCAGCAATTATAGATATTTATGGTTATGTTTAGAGTTCAAATTATACATAAACTGCAACGTCAATAACATTTAAAAAAAATATTTAAAATAAAAAACAAATTAAGAATTTTTATTAAAAATCCTACAAAACAAAATTTAATTGTCGAATAGTAAAAAATTATTTGAATATTTAAGATCAAGATCAAAACCGATTTCCTTAAATCCGAAGAAAGTTGCAAATTGAGAAAAAAATCGTAAAATACATATTTTTTTATTAAAAAATTTTTTGTAAAACAAATTATATGTTTTGCTTCGAAGTTGATATTTTCCTTTATATTGAATTTATATTTTATATTTATTCAAGACTTTATGTATTTTTTTACAAAGTTTTAGTTCTTAATAACATGAAAATATCATTTATAGAATTTTATCTATTAGTTATTTAATAAGACAAAAATTGTTTGAAATTTTAATTTTAAACTCCAATTAAATTAATATTAAACTTCTTCTTGGAATCTCATTTTGCAACTCTGAAACAAACAAATTTTAATGTATTTATAAACAAATTCTGCTATTAAAATTTATTACTATACACATTTGAAATTTATTCAAAAGTAATATGAAAATATTGAAAAAGTGTTGTATGAAACTCTATAATTAAAAAATTTATAATAAAATAAAATCAAAACAAAAATTTAATCATAAAGAAAATCAAAAAAAATCAAAAATTTAAAAATTATGTATTTGCATAATATTTGTTTTAATATTGTTATAATTCTCTGTTTTTAAAATAATTTAATTAAGAGCCTTATATTAATGCACCAAATGAAACTAAGAATCAAATTTATTAGTGTTACTTATTATTTAACAAGAAAATTGTTTAAATTAAAATATTTTTTTTTTGTTTCTTTTTTGCTTTTTCTTTTTCAATTGAAACCTCAGTTTTAAAAATATTAAAAATTAAGAAAAATATTGGTATTTTTCGTACCACTAAAAGGATTATTAATATTTTTCTAATTTTTATTTTCAATTGAACTTGAATATCGAAATGTCGGCCTAGTACAACAGTTTTAAGTATCAAATGTATAAAATTTTTGTATTTAAAAAAAAATAAATACTTACTTTTCATTTTAAAATTGTCTATAAAAATGCACTATAACTAAGATTTAAACAATTTGTGCAAATTCTTATATTTTTTTGTAAAAATTTTTAATGCAAACGAATACATAAAATACAATTTTGTAAAGTTTTTTGTGCTATGATAAATTTTCTAATTATTTTCTTATCAAATAAATCGTATTTCAATTAATTTTTCTATTAAAATATTTAGATTATTTTGAAAAATCAACTTAGTTACTTATTCAATTAAGTTAATCTTTATTCAATTATAATTTAATTCCTTATAAAACAAAAATTTTTTATTAAAGTATCATATTTGAACTACTATTAAATATAAAAATTTGGTATTAATTAAGTTGAATTTAAGATTTAAAAAAAAAAACTTAAAAAAAAAAACTGTTTAAATATAATCAAAAGAAATTTGCACCAGAGAGAAATTCATTCTAATAATAAAATGAGTTTTGTATAATCAAATTCTTAAAGAATATTAAAAAAAGAAAATGAAAATTGATATATGTGGATGCTCTGAAATTTTGTAAAAAAAATTTCAAAAACAAAGGAAAAAAACGAAATATTTTTAATTTAGAAATAAATGGAAAACATAATACAATATAAGTGTAATTAAAAGAAAAAAAGATAATAAGTGTAAACCTTTATGGCAAGAGGTATAAATTGAAACTTGGAAGCACAACTGTCGCCTATTATTTACAATAAAAAAACATAAAAATTTAAATTAAATAAAAGTTCATATTAATAAAATATTTTACTGGATATATTATATTAAAATCAAACTAAAAAAATATGTAATTATATATATATATATATATATATATGTAAATATAAATATATATAATAAGAAGTAAAAAGATATAAAACGAAAATAGAAACCTTTTTAATAAAAAATTCTGAAATGTTAACGAATGTCGCATTGAAATACATTTAAAATGTTTAAATACATTTCATACATTTTCAATTCGATGTTCTCCAATCATACATGTTTGATTTTCCTTTTTATTTTCATTACAACAAAAGAAAAGTTATATACCAAAATATTTAAATTTAAGTATTAAAATAATAAAAATTGAAATTGCATAAATGTAAGGAAAATTTGAATTGTAATTACAAACAAAAAAAAGAAAAAAAAAATTAACAAAAAAACAAGGAAAAAAAATTATGTTTAAGAAAAATCACTTATTTTGGAATTTGTTGTAGCAATTTTATTAAGCTTTGGGGAAAAAAAAAATTGAAATGGTAAAATTAAAAATTATATACAAAAAGTAATATATAAAATAAATTAATAGAAATATAAATTTTAGAACATTTTCTGTGAAAATGTGCTGACTGAAACCGAAAATCAACATAAAACAAATTGTTTAGTTCAGTTGTTACACATATTTAGAAGAAAAATAAAAGTTATAACCACACATATGATTTAAAATATAATATGTTAAAAATAAAAAAGGCAAAAATTTAAAGTCGTAAATCAAAATGTATGTTGTTTAAATTTGTTTAAACAACATTTATTGCGAAAATATTTAAAATCCCATAAAATTCAAATTAAGTAACAAAATTAAATTCTTAATGAAACAAAAATTTACCTACTTATATATTTATTATCAAAAGAAAAGAGGAAATTGTATACTTTAATGGGATGAGGCAAATTATTTTTTATACTCTTTTTTTTTTCTATTTTTTTCTTCATAGCTTTCTTGCCCTTTCGTTGCATATTGTTAGATTAAATATTATTAATTTTTTTAATTTAAATCATAAGTTCAATTGAAAGTTGCTTTTGGCCTTATTACAAAAAAAAAAAATATTAAATTAAAATTATATTAGGAAAGAGATGTGACATCAAACTTTTTACAGGTGGTATAGGTATATCGCATATTAAAACTAATTAGACTTACAAAAAAATTAAAAAATACCATCATAAGAAAAATCCATCAAAATAAGTTTAAAAAATTAATAAAAAAAAAAAAAACAAGAACCTGTATGTACATAAAATTTTTGTAAATTTTTGTTCCTTTTTCTATAAAATGCATGACTTTTTATTTTATTATAGAAATATATCTATTCTTAAAATAATTTACATTTTCAAAACCAAAAAAAAAAAATGATAATAAATTTGACATAATTAATTAATTAATTAAGAACATATAATCATATTAATCTATAATTATCAACAAAAAAATAAAAAAAAAATTTAATGTTTTCTTTATCTAAATGCATTTTGCACCTATTATCAATATTAAATCTTAATAAATTAAACAAACAAAAATAAATAAAAGAAAAAATGAAAAAAAAAAAAAATACCAAAAATTTAAAATACACTGATTATTTTTTTCAATAAATGATAAAAAATATTAAAATTAATAATAAAAACATTTAAAAAATTATCAGTAGCAATTTTTTGCATTTTTATTTTTTCAATTCAAATATTTCATATTTAAGAAAAAACATATCGTTTTTATCTAAAAATTTAATGCAGTTAATTTTTTTTCTATTATAAAATAAGAAAATTTGTATTAAAAATATAAATAATATATACAATGTAAAAAATAAAAATGGGAAAACTTATTATAAATTAAAAAAATATATATTCAGTCTTTTTGTTTTTTAATTACATTAATAATATATACATACCTGTTTTTATT